TGTGTGGCGTCTTTGTATTCATCGTCATACCAGTGATTTTTTCTGACCAGAAATTTCTGTTACTATTTCATCTTGTGTTGCTGACTTAATATCTTACTTTATCCTTTTCAAGTAGGAGTCTATATCTCTCTGGTCTTCTTCGCTTAGACTTTTATTCCTTAACCTATTGGTAATGTTTTTCCAGTACTGTTTTGCAACAGTTGCATCTCTCAGCTTTAGCATTTCTATCTATCTACTTGTTTTTATTTGTTGGAATTTGAAATTCTAGCCCTTAGTGTTGAGATCACTAAACAGTGTTCTGACTCTATGTTTGCGCCTCTATAACTTCTGCAGTTCATTATGTCCGTTCCGTGTCTTGAATCTGTTAAGATGTGATTAACCTGACTAGTTGTTCTTCTATCGGGGGAGCTCCAGGTTACCTTGTGTATATTTTTGTGTTCAAAATAGGTGCTAGCGACGGTCATGTTCGGTGCTGCTGCTAAGTTTATTAGTCGTAATCCATTATCGGTACTGCTGTTATGTAGGCTATGCCTTCCTTTAGTCAGCATAAACACTCGCTCTCGTCCTATTCTTGCATTCATGTCACCTAGTGCTATCCTGATGTCATTTCTGGGGTATCTTCTGTAGGCTTGTTCTAGGTCTTTGAAAAACTGTTCTTTAATGTCTTTTAGTTTGTCGGTCGGGGCATGTGCAATAGCTAAACTGTAATTAAAGAATTTACCTTTTAAGGGTAAATAGCATATTCTTTGACTGTAGGCTTTAAAATTAATAACTAGGCCTTTTGTTCTTTGGTTTACTAAAAATCCCACTCCATCTATGTGTTGGTTTTCATTGCAGCTTTAATATATGGAGTGGGTTCTCTTGTCAAGAATGCGTCTTCCCGTCCATCGCATTTCCTGCGTTCCAAAATATCTACTCTGTACATGTTTACTATGCCTAGTAGAGATGCGAGTGCTCCAGCTCGGGACAGAGTTCGGGTGTTCCATGTTCCTAATCTTAATTCCATTTTGCGTTCGCAGAGTCGTCGTCGTAAGTTCCGTCCGGCTAATGGTTTTTGGGGTTCCGTAACATACGAATTTTACAGGAAGAGGTTGTTAGCCTGCAGCCTAACCCCCAACCTGGAGGGCCAGGGACTCTGTTGGGTTGCCATACCAGTCTGTTTTGGTTCACGGGTGGTATTTTATTTCACGGAAACATTTGTATCTACTCTGCGGTAAAAAATTGATATCATTTGATCAGAGTGTTCTAATTTGTGCGATTTTTGTCATTTTTTATGATTCTCATTAGATCAAAAAATGTATCACTTCTATTGATTGCTTATACCGGAATTTCTATTGTTAAAGCCTAATTTTTAAAATGTATAACATGAAATTTCGATTTTATATGCCTAAAAGACGCAGAATTTAAACTTTTATATTACAAGCAATTGCACGTTATTTGTTTCTATGGCGTACAGATTCTTGTTAAATCGATTTTTTCCGTTCCTTCCTTTGAGGGGTCTTTTTAGGGGAAGCCGGAGTTAGGAGTGAACTTTTTTGCATATTTTTTGAAGTCCCAAAATTGACATTCTGGGCTACATTCAGCTCGTTCGTAAGATTTTTAGATGTTCTTGTTCATAACTAACGATTAAAGTATAAACACAATAAAAAAAATAACACAAGAGAATTTCTTTATATGATTAGATAATATTTAACGTAGGTTTTCTTTAAAAATAATCATTTTTCAGATACAAACTAACTAATAATCGTTTTATCGTTATATCTTGTTCAAATAAATATTAACAAATTCAATAGCTCATAATTGCAGTAACCTCAATTAACTGAAAACCCGCGGTACTCTCAGGTACCTGAAGACTTGACCACACTTGACTTATTTCGTCAATAATAAATAGATAAGTTGATATTTATTAGATAAAGTACTTAACTTATCTTCATCTTCTAGGTTACGTTTTCTATTAAATATTTTTAGACATATTTTTTTGTTCTGCATTTCTTGGTAATCCATTAACAAAAATAATTTTATTGATTTATTTTATTCGCTTTCGAAAAATTTAAGACTGTGTTTTCTATCTATTATGCTGAGGCATACTTTAATTCAAAGATTGGGATCTATGTAAGACACTAAAAATATTAGTTTCTATTTGAATTTAAAATATTCCTTGACAAGGGAAAAATATCTACATCAGTGGAATGAATTATGATCTTCTGTGTATACTGGATATGTATATTAAATTATTTATTTATTTATTTAAATTGTAGTGCATCTACATAATTATAATGTAGAAAGTAGTAGATTGCAAAAACATAATAAAATAAATTAATTTATTTTAAATCTCTTTAAGAAACGTTGAAATATCAAATTGATTTAAAAACTATAAAACATTTGTCTCAATAGCATAAATGTAACATCGTTATTTATTTATTTAATACACGGAATAACATCATTAACAGTTTAAATTACAATATACAATATCACAGGTCCCAAGTCCAGATAAAATGTGGAGGGTGACTGGCAAGATTAGCAACATACCAATCGTAAAAACTAATACTGCTCAAAGAAACAATGTACAGCATCTGAACCAGATTGATACTTTGAAAACGATTACGGCAAGAAATAAGGACAAGCGAAAAACATTAAAAACCCAGGTGAGAATTACTACTTGGAATATCAGATCACTCAACTCAAGGTATCAATAAAGAGACATAAAGAGAGAAGGAAATAGACATTCGTGCTCTACAGAAAACAAAAGAAGAAAGGAAAAGGTCAATCACAATTAGGTTAATACATACTAATCTACAGTGGAGAAGCAAAAGAAAACATGGGCAAAAAAGGTGTAGCCTTAATAATACACCAAAGGCACCAAAATCACCTCAAAGAGTGTCAATACATATCAGAAAGAATAGTAACAGCAAAGATAAGAATGGAGAGGGAAAACCTGAACATCATCGGAGTATACGGCCAGAAACAAGTCTCAAACAACAAGTGAAGTGTTTTACGATCAATTACAACAAGTAGTAGATCAATTCAAAGGAAAGATGATAATATTGGGGGATTTTAACGCTCGAATACGCAACCAAGTAATAGTCGGCATCAAACAAAAACATAAAGAGAATGGTAAAAACCAAAAACTGATGATCAACTTCTGCACGAATAACGAACTAAGAATAAACAACACATTTTTTGACCACAAAGACCAACACAAATATACATTTAAAGACACCCGAGGACGAAGATCTATGATGGATTTTTTTATAACCAACAGAGATATACATCCATCAAAAATAATCGACGTAAGATGCCTTAACTCAAATGTAGGTAGCGACCATAGCCTAGTATTATGTAAAATAAGAATAATCCTGAAATACTTCCCACCCAATAGAGCGGTATCAACACAAACAAAAATCCAAGTCGAAGGACTAAACACGGAATCGACGGGAATTGCTGGGAATAAAATATTAGAAAACGATAACATCGAGAAAAGCTGGGAAAAACTTAAAAATTATATAAGTAACGCAGCAACAGAATCACTTGGAGAGAGGAAAGTAACGAACACTAACATTTCAAAAAAGAAAAAACCATGGTTAAGAGAGAAAGTAAAGACAAAATCTGAAGAAAAAAAGAAAGCCTTTTTAAAATACAGGACACAACAGGCATACAACCATTATAAACGAATCAGAAATGAAACGAACACTTTAGTTTGACAAATAAAAAAGGAACACTGGCAGAGGTTCTCAAAACACATGGAACACGATTTCTATGGAACACAAAAAGAAGTATGGAGAATGATCAAAGGACAAAGAAAATAGATGAATAAACTAATAAAAATGAAACACATTTAAAAGAAAACATGGGTAGACTACTAACTTTCGATACCTGTTTGCTAAAGGTGACCATGATAAACCACCAACACCAGAGGTGACGACAAACGAAGAAACAAGTATTGAAGAGGAAGAGGTAAAGGAAGTGTTGAGGTAAATCGCTTGTTTGAACTCGCTGGTGTGAAATTGATACACTGAATTTAATAATAACTATATTTTTACTAAAACAAATCTATTATAAAACTCACTGCAACAAAAGAGGACTTCTTAACTCTAGTAATATCTATAGCTAACTTCATTCGATGTCATTCTTAACTATGTGGACAACTGTACTCAATTCTCCGTAACAAGAAGCAATAAGGAAATTAAAAAATAGAAAATCACCAGGAGAGGACATAATACCAAACGAACTCCTAAAGTATGGAGGACCAGATCTGAGCAAATAACTATTAAAATTAATTCAAAAAATAACAGAACAAAACAGAATTCCTCAAGAATGGAGATCCAGCATCCTAATACCTCTCTTCAAAAAGGGAGACGATCAGTAGGAAGACCACGAAAACGATGGAATTACAACTTACTTGAGGCATATTGAAACACAGACACAGTCATGTCTATATAAAAAGGAGAAGGCAAAGAAGAAGAAGAAGAAGAATATCACAGTTAGGATTCGAAACTTGAAATTATTTATAATATAAAATAAATATTAAAAAGTTTAAAAAAGTTTAAAAAACGAAACGAAAAATCTTACATACTAAAAAAACAAAGAAAGTATAACAAGAACAAAATTCAACAAGTATATATTATTGTAAAAACGCTTTTATTTGAATAATGTGGCTTGGGTTTTTTTAGAAATCTAAGGAATTTAAAAAATAATAGTGGAATTTAATACAATTGACTTTCACTTACCTGGATTACACAATAAACAAAAGACTTAACTTTTTAGTGTAATTAACTTATTTCTCAAATTCTACCTGCGTTAAGCGCATAACAAAAAATTTCTAACCCCAGTCCCTAAGTAAATATGGCGATTATAATAAGTAAGGTATTGGGTACATTTTGGTAATTACCCCTCCCACTCCAAATGTCATTAGCGAAGGTGGCTGTGGATTACATTTAAGGTCTTTTTTGTAAATAGTTCATTTGGTATTAATATTTGTTAGTGACAAGTGTTTGACAAAAATGTCTTTTTCAAGAGCCACAAGATTTGTCTACAAGGAACCTGGTGAGTCTTTGAAATTAATCTATTAAAAGGACTGGATATTATTTTAGATAATATTATTTTAAATACTTTATGCTATATATTAAGCTTATGGGTATATGTATTAAGGTTTATACTTTGGAAATTATTTTTATAGGGTAGATAATATAAAATGTTTTTATTGCAATTGCAATTAAATAAAAATAAACTGTAAATTCTGATCAGACTCCACTCATTTAAACATCATTGTTTGAGAAAAATATTCTACAGAAGCTTATGATAATGACTCTAGGCTTATGATAATAATTTTATATCTTCTACTTTTTTTATGTACACATGATTTAGTCTGTTTTTCAATGTGCCAGTTTCTGTGCTGTGTGGGCAAGAGTGTCTGTTTTTCCAGTAAGTTGTCGTTTCAGCGTTTTCGTAGCCTTTCTACTTATCGACTTCCTATTGGGGAACCATCTTTTGCCGTCTTTACTATATTTGTTGTAATTTGGCTTTTGTATGATTATTTTATTCTACTCGTTTATTTCTTATCAAGTTCTTGATCTTCTTAACCTTGTATCTACTTCCTTTATCTGTACTTCTAGCTCTGTCCTATAGGGTCTTACCATCAATTTTTCCAAGTGTTTTCATGTCTGCTCTTTCTAACATCCTTTTTGTCCGCTCTGTGTCAGGTCGTGTTTCTGCCGCGTTCTGCATTATTAATCTGATAACTGTTTTGATAACTCTGCCTTTGATTTCTTTCCCGATATTTTTGTTTTTCTATATTGTTTCATTCAAGCAATCTGCGGCTCTGTTTGCTGTATTCACGAGCTTCCATTTTGGTTTCGAGCTTTCCGTAGCTAGATAATCTGATGCTTAGATATTTAAACTCCATCACTTTTTCTATTATCTGACCTTCCAGCTCCAATTTACATCTTAGTAAATTTGTTGTTATTACCATGCAATTTGTCTTTTTTGGGGAAATTAACGTGATAAATATTCTGGGGGTTATATTAAATTGGTGTAGTATACGTTGTAAACCATCTTTACTTTGAGAGAGTAATATTGCGATGTCTAAATAGCAGATTGTTTTAAGTTGTTTTTCTTCCATTTGGTATTAGATTGTCCTTTTTTATTATTTTATCCATCAAATTTGACAATAAAGAACTAATACAATCTTCCTGTCTTATCCTATTACCAGATTCAATAGGGTCAGTTAGTTCTTCTTCTACTTTTTCTTTTATTGTGATGTTTTCGTAGATATTTTTGATCGTTTTGATTATTACTATTTCTAGTTCTTTAATTTGACTTAATCATATGCATTTTTAGGGTCCAGGAAACATAGATATGCCAGTTTGTTGTATTCTAATTAGTTCTCTTGCACTTTTTCTATTATAAAAATAGCGTCGGTGCATAATTTTCCTGAACTAAAACCTTGTTGTTCTTCTACTATTGTTTTAATTTCATTCAGTTTATTTGTTATCACTTTGGTTGTCAATTTTAGTGTTTTGTTTATTAAAATAATTCCTGGTCTGATTTAATTCTTTATTTGGTGTTGTTTATTCTTAAATCGTGCAGAAGTTAATCATCAGTTCTCCATTTTAGTTTATTCTCCTTATGTTTTTGCTTAATTCCGGATATTACTTGATTGCCTATTGAAGCGTTAAAATCTCCCATTATTATTATCTTCCCTCTTACTTGATCTACTTGTTGTAATTGGTCATAAAACCTTTCCCTTCCTTCTCCATTCTTATCTTTGCTGTTACGATCTCTTCTTTCATTTCTGATATCCTGAGTTGATGTTATTTTGGTACCTTCTGTGTATTAGTAAATCTACACCTTCTTTGGTCCTTTGGATCTGTTTCTTTTGCTACTCCACTATAATAATATATTAGTATGTTTTAGCCTAATTTTGATTGTCTTTTCCTTTCTTTTTTATTTTCCATAGAGCACAAATGAGTATTTCTTTCTCTTTCAGCAACTGGGTTATTTCTGGGTTTTAAAATTATTTAAACTGTTTGTCCTTGTTTAGTATAAGTGTTATGTACAAATTATGTTTAGTTTCATGCTTATCACATTCGGCGCTTGCTGGATAGCCCAAATTTGACGAAATGCTCCTGAAGATGCTTTAGAAAGCGAAAGTACTTGGCGATTTGATTATTAAAATTGTGCTGAATATCTACCTTTAATTTTTTCAAAGTTATTTTATTTTTTATTCTGACAAGATTCGCAAACTTATACTTGAGCTGTGTCCCCATACAATCTACTTATGCAAGTTACATGATATAATACATGCTACTAAGACACATATGGCATCTAATGCCACCCTTATACTCTGTAATATTTAATACACATAGATAACACACCTTTAGAAACTTTTTGATTTTTAAAATGTCATGGAATATTTGATAATAAGTTTGTATTTTTAGCCTGTGAAAGAATTTTTAATACTGAGTTACGATTTTCGAAATGTGAAATAATATTTGATAATAAATTATTAGACAGGATTGTAATTTTTATTAAGAACTGTTTTGTATTATCTCCAAATAATTTTCGTTTGGGTACAATTTTTTTTCTCGGGGCTTGGAGATTTAGTGTGGACGAGAAATATTTTTGATAATCTTAAATTCGCTTCTGGTGTAGGTGAATGCTTGAAAATAACAATATTATTTTGGTTATTTATAGGGCTTGATGATTTTGTGTGAGAATAAAATTCTGGTGTAGGAACTTCAGGTTCAGAACAACTTCGGGTAATGGAAACTCAAAAACCTCAATATTGTTACTTATATTTTTCTGGTGTTAACACCGTCAATGCTTTTTTTGACTTTTCTTGATATTTTGCAATAGGAAAGTGAACTTTTACACCTTTTTTTAGGTTTCTTGAGGTCATTTCTATGTGTTGTCTACTTTCGTCTTCAGACTTATTTAAAGTTTTGGCTAATTTTTATATTTTTTTATTATCCGAGTTTTTTATTTTCTTTTGGTTTTCTTTCATAATCTGTTTTTTCTGTTCTTCGAGTTTTTTCTGTTTTTTTTACGCTCCTCGTCTAATTATTTGTTTATTTTTCTTTTTCTATATTTCTCTATCTGATGAAGTTAGAACAAATGGAAGCTTTTGAGTTTGCTTCTTGTCTTTTCATGCTAGAGTGTCTGGTTATACTAAGTAACTTTCAATAGATTTATTTGTAGTATTTACAGGTATATTTTTATAAATGTTTGGTAATCATCAGAGTTTTACAATTATTTCGACATAGCTGTTTAATTTTGCCATTGCCAACTATTTCAGAAATTTTTTTATTAGAAATTGTTGTATTTGGATCAGTAAGTGTTTGTAAATCTTTGTGCTCATCCAGATTACCTTCAGTTTTAAATTCTTTTCCAAGATATTTTGAATAGTCACATGCAAACGAATCCAAGGGAATACACTGCATGCCCTAAACACACTTCAGATAACATTTGGATTTAATATATTTATAGCAGATTTTAAAACTGAAACAAACTGTACTTTTGTTAACACTTTTTGAGGATTGTCTCTCCTAAACAAAAAGCACAACTTTGTTCCAAAAAGTTTTTAGAGGCTTATACGCAGCCACATCCGCTGGTTGCATTAATCTTGTAGCATTAGGATATAAAGCTATTAAAATAATTTTCAAATCTCTAAAAAGGTGACTTGTCTGTGCAGTTAAATGGGTTTTACGCCCATCAACAAAAAGGACTGGACGTGTAATATTAGTTTAATCTAAATAAGGGTTAAATATATTTCCAATATATTCCTAAAAGTTTTTATTCAATCCAACCATTTTCTGTTCAACCAATACCTCACGAATTCAGCACAGCACTTAATATGTCATTAGACAATCTCTTATGGGGATAAGTTATCATCGGAGGTAAAATATTTTCTATTGCAGAAAATGTGATCAGAATTGTTAATTAATTACTATTTAACTGGGAATAAGCCACAATTAAGAATTGTTAAGTTAACCTTTGGATTATGTTCAATTTCATAGAAACCCTTTATAGCCACAACTTTTTTATTATTGGGACATACATAAAAGCATGTCTCGTTACCTTGTTAGGTATTGAAGAACATCTTTAATTCCTTTTTTATCTAGATAAGATTTTATATTGTCAAACCGTGGTTAATATTTTTGTTGGAAATAAGACACAATTTTATGAAATTTATTTTACACTCGAAAATCGTTCTCAAAATACAAAATATATATTACTGAAATTGTAAATCATATTTTCAGAAAAAGTTTTGTTCGAAGTGGAAATCGAATCAGCAAAAAAATATTTTGAATTAAAATAATTTAAAAATTCTCAACAAAAATAGTAAATTGTACATATTAAGATACTACAAGGAAATAGCTTTAGAATAAAATTATTACGTACTACTTGATAAATATTGCAATCATCCATAAATTATTAAATATATTGTTTTTTTAAACAAATAATATTGTTAAGTTAGTTTTATATAAGTAAACCTGAAATATATTTTCTTACAGAGATAACAGTGTCTCCTGCCGAATATAATGTACCAACTTCTTTGGGAGATATATTTACTTTCTGCTCGAAATTCCAAGCATCTCCCAGAAAGTATTCTGAAGGATCTGCCGGTAGTAAGCGTTTGGTAAGTTTTATTTAGTTTTATTTATTAAATATTATTTACTTATATTTTTTTATTTTTCTTAGTATCGTTTTTGTGTATCATTCACATGGTACCGTCCTTGTTAAAGGTTGATCACAATCTCTGCGAGTCAATTTTTATTTTGTATAGTTCAAAATTATACCTGTATTTTTAATTTATTAGTTTTCATAGATTTTAATAAAGATAGCGTAAGATCGTTATTTTGAATATGAAGAATTTGAAATTGGTCGTTAAAAGAATAATTATAATCTAGAAAGTGAAGTAAGTATGTAGAATATTTCTGTCTATTATTGAAAGCCCTTTTGTGTTCTGCAATACGTTCGTTAAAGGTTCTACCAGTTTGACCAATTGTAAGTTTTTAGATAGTAACCACATGTTGTAAGTTTGTATACACCATTGTGTAACTGTTTCTTCTTTTGGTGATTGAGGTTCTTGGTATATTTGCTCAGGTTATATTATTTGTTTTTCTTTTTAGTTTTTCTCTTTCGACTTTTAAAAACCTTAAACCCAGAGTCCACTACAATTGACTTCAGATCTAGTACAATAACGGTAAATAAATTCTCAACATTCTATATTTGCACGTTTCTACCATGTATACATTTTGGTACAAGATTTAAAATGGGCGAAATTATTGTTTTTCCTACAAAATTGTATGATTTTATCTCTCCTGCTATTTTGTGTGCTGAGACAATATGCTGTTATGTTCTTTCTGTCAGCATCACTGCTAATTTGGGCAATAAAGTTTTCAAAGATCATTATTACTTAATTTTTTTTTGTTAATAGGGTTATGTCATGTATTTTATTATATAATTCTTTGATTTTTTTTGTTTTGACTCATCGCTTTTTTGCATCGCTCAAATTTTGCAAAAGCTGTCTCATACATTGGTCGTACTTCAGCCAATCGTCTTATTTTTGAAAATTGTTTGTAGAGGCACCGCTAGACAGTAACAAACGGAGTGGACGTTTTTCTTCTTTTTGTTCCATAGTTTTCGTGGTCTTCCTACTGATTGTCTTCCTATTGGAAAACCGCCTCTTGCAGTCTTTACTACTCTATTTGTTGTCATTCAGCTTATACGATTATTTTATTCTACTTTTCCATTTCTTAGTCAGTTCTTGATGTTCTCTACCCTAAATCGTATATCTGTACTTCTAGCTCTAGAACTATCAATTTTTCTAAGTGTTTTCATCTCTGCTGTTTCTAACTTCCTTTTTGTCCTCTCTGTATCAGGTCTTGTTTCTACCACGTATGTCATTATTGGTCTGATGTCTGTTTTGTAAATTCTGCCTATCGTTTCTTTTCCGGCAACTGGAGAGAGAATGGTATAATTCTCTCTCCTGTTGCCGACAAGAATGTAGAGCGTAGAATAATTTTTAATAATTTTAAACTGTTTGTCCTTGTTTTAATGTAGTGTTATGTCCAATTTCATGTTTATTACATTTTGCGCTTGTCAGATAGCCCAAATTTGACATAATGCCCCTGATGATGCTGTAGAAATCAAAAGTACTTGGGCAAGATTTGATTATTAAATTTGTGCTCGATATTTGCTTTAATTTTTCAAAGTTCATTTATATATTTGTTTGTCGTCATCTCTGGTGTTGGTGGTTCATTATCGTCACCTTTAGCAAATAGGGATCGAAATTAGTTTACCCATATTTTCTTCTGAATGTGTTTCATTTTTATTAGTTCGTTCATCTCGTTTCTTTGTCCTATGATCATTTTCTATATTTCTTTTTGTGTTCCGTAGAAGTCATATTCCATCTGTTTTGAGAAACTTTGCCAGTGTTCCCTTTTTATTTTTTTAACTAAATTATTGGTTTGATTTCTGATTCATTTGTAGAGATTTTTGTGTTCTATATTGTAAAAAGGTTTTCTTCTTTTGTTTACATTTTGTCTTTACTTCATTTCTAAACCATGGTGTTTTCCTTTTTGATACTTTAGTGCTAGTTACTTTTCTCTCTCCAAGTAATTCGGTTACTGTATTTATTATGTTACTTATGAGTTTTTTCCCAGCGTTCCTCGATGTTCTCGTTTTCTAATATTTCATTCCCAGCGATCTTCTCTGATATTCTTTTCCTGTATAAGTATTCCTTGTATTCCGTACTTGATCCTTCGACTTTGATTTTTATTTGTGTTGGCCCCTTGGGTAGAAAGTCTTTCAGAATGGTTCTTATTTTACATAATATTATGCTATGGTCGCTACCTACATCTGCTGAGTTAAGGCATCTTACGGCAGAGTTACTTAATCCACCTTTCAATCACTCTAAGCGGTGTTATTACTAATAACTAGATGTTAAAAAACAGTAAAGTAAACGGGAGATGTGCCTTATACATATTAAAAACAAAGAACCAGAAAGTGCTATTTTAAAATTAATTATTTTGAACATTGGACACAACTTAACTAATTGCATACAATCAAGATTAACCTAAATTGTTTTCAGTACACTAAAAACTGATATTTTTTGTTAGGTATATATTGTAGATGATAATCTTTTAAGGTATAATTATGAGGTTCTTACAACTTATGGGCATTTACTGTCATAAAATCAAATTAGATTTACGTCAATGTATATGTGAACGTATTCAAAAAATAGTTAGTTTTATTTTTGTTAATAAAGTGCTCAACATATATGTATTTTATTTCTGAAACTTTATTATTGTTTTTTAGGGCTGCAAATGTAAGATAAGTCTGTCAAATTCATCAACAACTGGAAATAGTTTAAACTACAATGAACGTGTAAGTATTTCATTAGTAGTTACTTCTTAATTTGCATGTTATAGATTTGATAGGTTGGCGTAGGTATACACACTATCAAGATCCGATCTACTAAGTTGGGCTATTAGTTGTAATGAATCAGATCTACTTCCATTTGTGTTTCCTTACAATATAACTTTAAGTAATTGATATTTATCTGCTATCGTACTCTTAGTTAGTGTCATTTTACTGTCCAATTCCATACCGTTTTTATTTTTAGTTTTCTATCGTTACCGTCACTTTTTTTTCTATCTGGATTACTTTCTTTGACCATGGTAGATTTTTAAATACAAAACAGTAGTCGCTTTAACTATCTGGGTTATTGGCGGCATTAGTGATTAAGTTACATTAGTGGTTCCTGTAAGCATTCGAATTATAGGAACCACAAAATTATTGATAATGGCAAAGTGGTCCTCCACCCCTAACTAAGACACGACTCTCTTATTTGACCGACGAAACTCGTTTTTTTTACTGACTGCAAAAACGGCAGTTAGATTAAGAAATGTTTTTTAATAGCTGACGCTATGTGTGAGCGATAATTACCCAAGTGATCGGCAACTTTAACGAAATCAACTAATTTTTCTACACCTTATTGTTAACATACAATGTATGAAGGAGCAGTCTTTTGTTTGCAACAATGTATTAACAACCGTAAATTGTTTTATGTTGTTTATGTTTGTGTAAGCGGAATCTTGTTTAACTATACGAGGAGAATAAAAACCAACAAAAAGTCTGTTAGTATTTTAACAATGGGTATCTGGAGTTGCGAAACTGCAACAGTTTTTTCTTTATGTGTAACTTGCTTTAGGAGTTATCATTATGAAAAACTGACTTTTTTGGCCTTTTTTTTTATCCAATATTTGAACCAACTTATGCAATACACATACACTTATTTTGTATTTTTATCCATAGCTCTTTATTATCTACCTTTTCTGCATATTTTTTCTTCTTCTTCTTTAAGTGCCCCTCCTATCAGAGATTGGATATTATTAGGGCGATTCTTATTTTATTAACTGCTGTTTTGAATAATTCGTTAGTGTTACAGCCAAACCACTCTCTTAAATTTCTCATCCAGGACATTCTTCTACGGCCTGGATTTCTGCGCCCTTGGATTTTTCCTTGCGTTATATTTTGTAGGAATGTGTACTTTTGTTCTCTCATCAGGTAGCCTAAGTATTTAAGTTTTCTTTTTTTTTATATTCAGTATAATTTCTGGATCGTTATTTATTCTGCACCCAACTTATTTTTAGTATACGGCGGTAGCACCACATCTTAAAGCTTTCAAGATTTTTAACATTCCTCTGTTTAATCCATGCCTCATCACCGTAAAGCAAAGTACTGAATACATAGCATTTTAACATTCTAGTTTGTAGATGAATAATAATATCACGATTACAAAATAATTTTTTCATTTTTATAAAGGTAGACCTGACAATTTTAATACGTCTTGTTATCTCGTGATTTTGGTCACCTGTTTTATTGATGAGGGTTCCCTAGTAATTGTATTCGCTTACTTTTTCGAGTTGGGTACCGTTTATTGCTATTCTAATGACATATATTGGATTCTTACTGAAGGTCATATATTTAGTTTTTTTGACGTTTATCCTTATGTCGTAGGTCTTACATATCTCATTCATACTTTTAACTATATGTTGTAGATCTTCCGCTGTTTTTGCCAATATCACAGTATCGTCAGCTTATCGAATGTAATTGATAACTTCTCCATTGACTATTATTCCTTCGTTTGCATGTGAGAGAGCTTATTGGCATATTTGTTCGCTATGGATATTAAACAAAAGCGGTGACAATATACAACTCTGTCGTACTCCTCTACGTATTTCTATTTCGTCCGATGTTTGGTCTTTTATTTTTATATTAGCTCGATAATTTCAGTACAGATTTAATATTATTTGTCTCTGGTGTCGATGTTCTTACCCTCCAAGATTTCTTTGAGTTTATTGTGGCGTACTTTGGCAAAGGCCTTTTCAAAGTCTATAAAGGTGGCGTGTACCTCTTGGTTAACATCCAGATATCTCTGTGTTAAGACGTTTAAGGCAAAGAGAGCTTCTCTTATATAATCCTTTTCTGAATCCCATCTGTGTATCGTTAATATCAATATCTAACTCATGATAAATTCGGTTGTGGATGACTCTAAGAAATATTTTAAGCAGATGACTTATTAAGGAGATTGTTCGATGATCTGAACATTGCATTTTAGTTTTCTTCGGTATGGTGTCAAACGTAGATAGCAACCATTCTTGAGGTGTTATACCAATACTGTAAATTGAATTTATATTGTATATTGTATAGATGTAATATTATGGTTACGGATTTATCATTCAAAAACTTTAGCAGTTCTGTAGGAATTTCATCACGTTCATTTGTTTTTCAATTTTTAGAGTTTCATATTGCGTTTGTTACTTCTTCTTTCAATATGTCTGGCCCCGTTGCATTGATTATCTGAGTTAACTTGTTTCTATTACCTTACAATAATTCATTTATGTATTCAGTCCATCTTTTTATTTTATTCTCTAGATCTGCAATAAGATTTCCATCTTTGTCCTTACCTATTTGTCAAGTTTACCTATTTCGCATTTCTTTATGCTTCCTGTTATCTTTTTTACTTTTTTGTCCATATTGAAAACATCGTACTTTTTCTCATAGGTTTCCATTTCTTCACACTGTTCTTTAATCCACGTCGCTTTGGCTTCTTTTATTCTCTTTTTTGTGTTTGTTTATTCCTTGGTTTTTGTCTAGGTAATTCCTCATATTTCTTCTTTGTTCCATCAAAACTAGTATATCTTGTGTCATCCACCTTGTTCTTTTGTTGTTGTTTTTGTAAGATGTTTCTTTCCTGCTGTTTGTATAGCTGTATTTATGTACTTTAATTCTTGGTAAACGTTATTTGTATGGTTAATTTGTTGCTGCACTGAACGGAGGTTTTCATTTATTTCTTCTCCTGTTTCTTGTCGTATTATTTTGTTTCTAAATTTATAAATCTAGTTCCTTTTTGTATGATCCTTTTTGGTCTCGCCTCTATCACAATAACTACTGGGTTATGATCTGAGGCTATATCAGCTCCTGGGTGCGTCTTAGTACATTTAACAGCATTACGATACCTCCTTGCTATCAAAATGTAGTCTATTTGATTTCTCACTATTTTATCTTTGGTATGTTGTGGAGATGTCCATGATGATAACCGTCGAGGAGGTAATTTAAAAAAGTTATTTGTTATTACGAAGTCTTCACTTTGGCAAAATTGAATCAATCGATCTCCTCTGTCATTTCTGTTTCCAAGTCCATATTTTCCTACTTGTGCTCCTACCTTACCTTGACCGACCTTGGCATTAAGATCGCCCATTATTATGTTAATGTGTTGCTTTTTTAACGTTTTCCGCATTTCTTCTAAATCGTTGTAGAATTGTTCTATTTTATTAAAGATTTATAATAATAAATCTTTATAATATTTATAATAAAGATTTAGTAATAGACATATTTTTTATTACTACGTAATTTTTACATTTTTTATTAATTTTCCTTTCTAATCCTTATTTTATTTTTACTCCTTTTTTCTGTTGTATTGCTATTTGCATGATTAAAACACATTGAAATTTTCGTTTCTATTATATTTGTTCATGTCCAAACATGACCAAACATTGCGAATATAATTGTAATTTAATTTTTATGCAGTTAATTATTTTATGTTCTTTTTTTTTAGAATACTCGAAGAAGTCTACCATCCTGTTCGATTCCAAGTAAGCAGATAATTAACCTTTCTAATTCTAAAGAAATTGCTAAAAGAAGAAGCTTTTTTGGTAACTCTATCTCAAATAATAATTCTTTTAAAGAAAGGATTACCCCACTCACAAAAAGAATAGACAATAACAGGAAATATGACTGCACCTGTCAAAGTAAATTCAAAGATGCGCCATTTTGGGTTAGTGAAGAATTCATTGATGATGATTACTATAGTTATACTAGTTCAGAACCACTTACTAGTTGGAATACAGGCAATATACACTTAAATGATTTCACTAATTTTAATAGAAGAAACTTCGAACAGGGCATTTTACAAAGAGTAGAAAATATTAGCCGATATGTAGATACTCTGAATAGTTCTTTTAACGAATTCAAAGAAGTCATGCTCCTTAATCAATGCCACAACAGATCTGAAATCACCATAAGACACACGATCGATCTTACTGGTCTCTACGAACCCCAGTTGTCAAATAAAATGGAAAATTTAATTCATAGTACAATCGATAACTATAAAAGACAACCATTATCCACACAAAATTTCCTCAATGAAGATGCTAATTTTAAAAACAGGGACACAGAAAGCAGTAACAGAGAAATATGTGATGATCAAATTGAAGAATTGCCAGATAACGACGCGTCAATATTAAACCGAGAAATTTTAAATTTGACCGATGATGATAAAACATTGGAATTTGATATTTCTATAAACAGTGATATAGAATTAAATGAGTTCGATGACATTTTTATTTGTGATTTTGAGAATTTTGATAACGAGGATATCTATAACGCATTATCAATGCAACTGCAGATTAACCACAAAGAATTAGATGAGCTTGAGGAAGATAAAACTGAATTAATGACTAAATCTGACAATACTTATAAAGAGGTAAGTGCTGTGCTAATATATATTTTATTGTATTTTTTACAGCATTAAAGATTTTTATTCGGTACTATAATCTACTTCTAAATACACACTGTTTTTTTCCAACATTTTTCGCCAATTTTTCCACTTCTGGTGTGTTCTATTACCATTCTAAGTTTGTTTTTTTTTTTCGTATACCGTTCTACATTTTTTTTAGATGACCCAAGTATGTATTTTTTTACTATTTACTGTTGTTATACCTACATGTTTTTTTTTGTTGTCTTCTGGTCCACTCTAGCGTTACACTCTTCTTTTGATCTGTAGCCTCCATTAACCTATATTTTTTATAGAGCTTCCCCAAAATTTATTTTTAGTGTCTCTATGTGGATGTGTTCACAAACTTTGCCTTTGTCTTTATTTTTTTTTTTTCGCGTCCTGTTTTTTATATATACTGGTAATTTACTAGAAGTTGTGGGGTACTTACATGAAAGAGGATTTAAATATTAGCAGAGCTATGATTTATAGGAAACAAAAATTAAACAAAAAGACACCAATAAAGGCAAAGATTTTTATTAAAAAAAGTAGAAAGCTTTTTTGTAGAAAACAATTTTGAAATTATAATTACGTCTTCCAAACACCACATAAATATATTGGCGTTAATTCAGTTTGTATGTTAAATAATAGGTTATTTGACTATATTTACTATATTTTCAATGAGTACTGCTTTTCATATTTTCAAATTATTTGTAAGTTATTTTCCAGTTTTTGCAATTAGCACCAAATCCTCAGCACCATACTCCTTCCGAGATTTCTTGTCTTTGTAGATTTCTAAACTCATTCATTTTTTTGCTTCTTGTCCTTCATGTCTTAATAATTTTGTCCGTAAATATTATAATTAGTGTTGGGCTAAGTGTTGTAAGCCTCCCTGTTTTAAGCCTCCATTTATTGTTATTGTTAACGTTTCGGAAGTTGTATTATTACAAATTACGGCATTTTTGTTCTCATTGTATATTTTTTGTATCATTCTTAGTAACTTGTTGTCCATTTCTTTTTCTCTTATTTTCTTGTTTTCTATCTAGGTGCTGCATTAAAGGCTTTTTCCAGTCTAGGGATACTATGTATATTTTTTTTTCTCTTGCATCGCTTTTTGTGTTATATGTTTTAAAAATATATATATGATCCTGTATACTATTACTTCTACATGCACTTTGTGCTTCGTCTAATGTGTGTTTTTATTGTGCTTAATCATTTGTTAATTTATTAGTTTATTTTTTCCTAAGAGTTTTATATATGTACATAGCAACGTCAATCCTTTGTAGTTATTATATTTTCTCCTATTTCTTTTCGTATATAGGCACAATTGGTGACACTTTTTAATCTTCTGGTATTTTTTCTGAGAATGCCTGTCCGATCCGAACATTGGAAATCATTCTGGCTATGATGACTTTGTAGGGTGCTGTACGGAATAGCTGTTTTGAGGTCTTTCTATACCATGGTCTCAGGTTAGCAGACCAAGATATTCTTCTTCGTCCTGGGGCATTTTTCCTTTAATTTTACGGCCCTTCACGATGTTCCAAATCTGCGATTGTGTTAATCCTCCGCAGTACTTCTTAATTGGTGAGTTTGTCTGTCCATGGTATCTTCAGGATCCTTCTGTATAATTATGACTTAAAAGGCTGAAGTTTCCGCCTTTTGTTTCTATTCCGTACAGAAGCATTGAGTACACGTAACATTTAAGGAGCCTTATTTTTGTTTCTAGGGTGAGGTCAAGGCTCTTGAATACAGAGCTCATTGTCAAGACTGCACTTTTTCCCTTTCCGATGTGACATTTAATCTTTTGGGTATTGTCCCGCGACTCATTGATTATAGCTCTCAAGTAGTTGTACTGTGAGACCCGTTCAATTCTCATTTGGTTCACGTACAGATTTGCTCCAGTTATGTTCTCCTTGCTGATGATCATTAGCTTGGTTTTGCTAATTTTTAGATCCAGTCCATATGTTCTACTTGTTTCCGTTAATTTGTTTATTAAGTTTTGCAGTTCTTCTGTGCTGTTGTAAAATACTATTATATCATCTGTATACCGCAGGTTATTGAGCTTGAATCCATTTATTGAGATACCTTCATCAATCTCTTTTAGGGCCTCTTCAAAATTGTGCTACGGTTTACCTTCATTTTTCCATATTTTATTCAATGTTGTTAGTTATATTTGTGTTCTATTTTTACCCATATTTTCTATAATTTCTTTTATTATTCTATCCACCCCAGGAGTTTTTTCATACTTCAACGTTTTTAGTACTTTCCCTAGTTTCTCCTCGTTTATTGAGTTTTTTATGTTACATGTCAATCTTCTTACGAAAAAAACTAAAAATAATTTGCTATGCAGACGACGCAATAATTCTCTAAGTAAAGATGATTTACAACGTATGCTGCACCAATTTAATATAAGCGCCAGAAAGTTTAATTGTCCAATTCGCCCAAAAATACAAAATGTATGGTTATAACAGCAAATTTACTAAGATGTAAATTGGAGCTGGAATGTTTGATAATAGAACAAGTGATGAAGTTTAAATATCTAGGAACCACATTATCTAGCTACGGAAACCTCGAAACGGAAGTGAAAAGAAATGAAAGATAGAATGTACAAAACAGTCATCAGACCAATAATGACATACGACAAAAATGATGTTAGAAACAGCAGAGATGAAAACAATTAGGAAAATTAATAGTAAAACATCAAGAACTGGGTAAAAAATAGAAGAGTAGATTGAAACGATCATATAAGTCATTTGAATGACATCAAATGGAGTAGTGAACACAGAGTTTACGGCACATTAAAAAACATGACAGTCATGACTACATAAAAAAAAAAGAAGATCTTCCAACATATTTTGTCTTTCATTTATGTCGTCTTGGTACCACTATAATTAAGCGAAACCGCCTGCAGTGGGCAGGACATGTAGCCCGGGCCCCTGAATCGAACATGATAAAAAAGATTCTAACAGCGCAACCTTTGGGAATGAGACGACAAGGTAGACCAAAGCTGAGGTGGATGGATGGGGTAACACAAGATGCGGAGAAGATCGGAGTCGGCAACTGGAAAATTCAAGCAAGGGACAGAACAGAATGGCGTAGAAAGCTTGAGAAGGTCGAGGCCCTCTAAGGGCTGTAGCACCAAGATGATGATGATGAATGTCGTCTTGGTTTATACACGTTTACAGTTCTTCGAACTGTTGTTTCGATCTTTTAACTGATTCTTTCGTTTCTGCTAATGATTCTCCGTATTTATTTATAATGTTGTATATTTCATGTTTTTTGTATTCTTATAGTCTTCAGGGTTCTATAGAATATCTTCCAAATACTTTTGCCATCTTCTTTCATTTTCTCTCTGAACTTTTTCCAATTCATTTTCGAATTGTCTTCTTTCTGTCTGTTCTTTGTTGCTGGTACCAATAAGTTTACCTTTTCTCTTTCCTTCTTATATTTATTGTAGATATTGTAGTTGTTTCAAATATTGTTTTAATGCATTTTTAAAGTCATATTGCTTAAAATGCAAAATTCTATGAATTTCTTTCCATTAATATTTCTGGTCATTTCTTTCTATAAACCTATAAATTTACTGTATATTTCGTCTTTTATTCTTACCTTTCTGTTGTAGTCCTGCGATATATATTTCTTCTCTTGGGATTTCTGTGCAAACCTTAACTCTTTCCAAAATTTATCTTTCATTTGTGCAAAATAATCTTTGTTTATGATATATACTACTATAATAATACCATATATACTACTATAATAATTTTATTAGGGTGTATTCGTTGTTCATTTTTATTACTAATCTATCTCTCTGTTAGATATCTATGTATATCTCTTTTTCCAGTATTTTATGTATTATACAACCTACACCTGCAACTGCTGTTTTATCATCTGATACTCCGCTGTATATTAAGGTATGATTATTTTTCATTTTCACTACACCTTGTCCTTTTTTTCTAGTCTCTTATATTGCTAGTATACTTAATTCTGTCGCCCCAATCTCCTCTAATTTGCCGCACGGTATACAAAATGCTTCATCTCCTTTAAGAGAAAGTTCCTAATATGGTCTGATCCATGCAGTTTGATATACTTCGATAATTTTTAAATTATTTTAGGTCTCTTTTTATTTGGTGATCATTTCTTGCCATTCAAGTGATTTTTGATATTAATTAGTTTTATATTTACACCACTTCTTAATAATATCAATTATAATACTAATTTTGTAATGTCTATGTTTTCAGATCATTAAGCAGACTGAAGCTCTGAGGGAACTTCATAGAGAATTTGCAGACTTAAGGAGTCGCTTAAATTAACTTGTTCATTATGTAAATACCGGTGTACTATATTTGAAGCTTGTAGAATGTTTTGAGATTTTTTATGTTTCATTTTTGTTTTTTGTTGTTTTATGTTTATGTTTTTATGTTCTATATGTTTTTGATTTTTTATATTTTTTTTACTTTTTTTTAAGTTTCTTATGCTTTTAAGTTCTAGTACTTGTAAGTAGTTGAAGTCTAACATTTATTTTGTATGTGTAATTATTATTTTGCTGATAAGAATTATTCACATTCAATTCTTTGTTTTGCAACTTTCTCTGTGTAATTGTTGTTTGTTTCTAAAATTTGTGAGTTTTAATTGCTTGCCTTGTAACTTTTTTGGTATTCTTTTTTACCTATGCATTATTTTGTACCCACTAGATTTATCTCTTTTATTTCTGGTTTTTTACATTTAACTTTCTCTATTTCCCCTTTTTTCGCTTTGTTTGTACATAAATCAATTGTATTTTGTTAAGATTTGATTGTTTAAAGGTGTAACTAACTAGGAATCCCTTCAGAAAAATTTTGTTTGCTATAAGAGTCGCTTTAGCATCAGTTCATAACTCTAGTTCTGTTATTAATCTTCATTTTCTTCTAATTATTCTGATGCTTTTTTTCTCAATTTTATTTGCTTTTAAATCAGCATTTCGAAAATACATCTGTAGGTTTTTTAAGTCTGTACAGCATTGTCTTTCTATTATTTATGATTTATGTGTTTATTTCGTTTTGTATCTTCTAGTTTTTCTAGTCATTTTGTAACACTGCAGTAGTCGCAAGCGGACTCTCGCTGCATGAAAAACTATTTATGAGATTTTAATCGTTTTTTTCCCAGATTGTTTATCGAGTGTAGGTATTCTACCTTCCGACATTGGTACTGTCTTGCTTTAGTTATTTTTAAATAAATCTTTAATTAGTTCACTACTGATGAGTATTATTATCATTTGCGGAGTGTAGGACTACAGTGGCTATTAGTGTCCCAAAAATAGGTGCGACTAATGTAGAAATAATATTAATATTTGCAATATTTTTGTAATATATTTTTATTTCTTAAGAAAGTTCTTATTTTAATAAGTGATGGATTTGACCGTTACTTGATGGAACTTTATTTTATCAAGCAACAATACTGAAAACTTTTGTGTTCAACACTTTCACCACAAAATTTATTATAGTTTATTTTTTACTACAGCTATTTTTGTAGAGTAACTTTCTTACGTGACCTATATTTGTATATTTGTTACGTGTTTAATACTTAATAGTCTTTAACTAATAAGTTGAGTGCAGAGGGGAGGGGGAGAAATTCCAATGTCAAAAAACTTTAAGATAATACTGAATATCATTAGACAAAAAGCAGCTAAACAATAGCTACAACTAACGTAAAATAAACAAAATTTTAAACCAAAAACTGCATCAGAAAGCCCTGTAATTAGTGTTTCCACCAAACATCGGTCAACCGGGTGGAACCTTTAACAAACGAATAGCAGAACATGAAAGGACTTTCAATAATAGAAAAACAGATTTTACGTACGCGCTTTATCTTCTAGATCATAGTCATTCTTTTAATAACCAATTCTTCTCCTCAACTTACTTAGTTAAAGGCTGTAAAGTATTCTATCTAATTAGCCTTCTTCGGTCTATCTTTGGAGATAGTCCTCCCCAATCCTTTTCCATTCTTCTCTGTCTGTCGCTATAGTCATCCATCTAGAGCTCACATGCTTCTTGATATCTACCCCATTTGGGACCTTTGTTTGCTTCGTTTATATTCCCACGGTCTTCAACTTATGAGAATTTTGTTCCATCGGTCTTCTTTTTGTCTTATAGTGTGTTCGGCAAATCTCCATTTCAATTTTGCAACTTCTTGTCTAACATCCCACACTTTTGTTTTCTCTCTTATCGTTGCTCTTTTTATCCATTGTCTTTTCATTGTTCTTTGGGTTTTTATAATTTTGTCCATGTTTGCTTTTGTAAATGTCCACGTTTGGGAACCATAAGTAAGAACAATTCGAATCTGTCGAAAGCCTTTTCGAAATCTATGAACACCATATTAGAGGAATGCGGATTTATTAGCTCGTTCTATAAGTATTTTCATACTTAGTAAATGGTCACTTGTGCTGAATCCCTTTCTAAAACCAGCTTGTTCTTTCGACTGGTATCCATCGAATTTTGTCTTCAATCTATTGGTTAAAATTTTTGTTAGGTGTTTATACATTGGGGAGTGTTATAGGACGGTAGTTTTTTATATCTGCTTTATCCCTTTTCTTGTGTAGGGTAATAGTTACTGATTCCTTCCAGTTGTTTGGGATTCTTGTTTCTTTTAATATCTTGTTAAAAAAGGAATGTAGAGTATTAATTACCACTTTTCCACCATATTTCAGCATCTCTGCCGTTATTTCATCTTTTCCAGGCGATTTGTTGTTTTTCATTTCTTTCAATGCCTTCTTTATTTCTGATTTGATTATTTCTGGCTGTAGCTCTGAGTTGATATTTTTTATTTTAGCCTAAGTTTGTTTTTAATTTCTTCTGGTTCCTTTTTTGTTTGATATAATTCTGAGTAGAAATGGTGGATTATATTTATGATGTAATCTTTAACGTTTATTTCTACTCCATTTACATCTTTTGTTTTGTTTATTTCAAACTTAGCTAATTTCGGCCTAAAGAATTTCATATTTTTGTTGTTCTGTATTACTTCTTCTATTTTTATTTCTTGTTCTTTTCTCTTATTTTCTTTTATCATTCTGCTTATTGTTTTATTGATTTCTACATATTCTATAGATTTACTTTTGTCTTCTTCGTTCAGCTTCCTTCTTTTCTCTATAAGCTTCTTTGTTTCTGTTTATATATAGTTGTTCTTTTTTAGATCCTTTTTTACTATTTCTTTTCCTGATACAATCATCGTTGCTGTACTGTGTCTATTTCGTCTATATCTTTATCATCACTGTCTAATTTTTGGGAGAGTTGTTCTTCTAATAGTTCTTTGTATATCTCTTTATATTTCCCTAGTTTGTTACTATCTACTAGATCTCAGTTTCTACTTATTTTTCTTTTCATCTCATAGTTACCGTCAATACTAATTTTTGCTCTGACCATCCTGTGATCGCTACCTGTTGTGAATCTGTTAAGAACTGTTACATCTTTAATGATTAACATTCCGTGGACGGTATGCAGTCGATCTGATTTTTTGTGGATTTATTAGTGCTGATCCATGTCCATTTTCGTTGGAGCTTCTTTTTGTAAAAGCAGTTCATTACGTATAGATGTATTTTTTCTAGGTAGTTCATCAAAGTAGCACCTCTATAATTTCTCTGACCATACCCGAAATCTCCTATTTTAGTTTCTTCTTTGTTTAGTTTTCTACCCTGTTTGGCATTAAAATCTCCAATTGCTAGTGCAGGACGATTTTTATGTTGACCTCATGTAAGGCTTCGGAAGAACATAAAAATCGTGAAGTATTAGACGCGTAACAAAAAGAAAGGAACTTTACCTAAACAGTTGTAGTAATAATAAATCATAGTTTTCAGTGTTGTATTACTTAATTTTATTTTCATGTTTAGTCGTTTTATTTTGGTTGATTTTGATTTGATAGGTGGTAGTTCTTTTGATAATTAGTTTTGTTCACGAATTCTTATGCCTTTTAACTGTCGTGGAGCTTATTTTAATGTTATGTTACATATCCATTTCTTCCAGGTTTTCGGTATGTTTTGTTTCTGCAATCGTTTCTCTGTTTTGACCAATTTCGTTTTTTTATATTTATTTGCTTCTTTTCGAAAATCGTTTTATTTAATACATAGTATAATGTTAAAAATGTCTTAAATTGTTTCTGTTTGATTTAGTTGGTTCTTTAGGTGTCTTTTGTGCTCTTGGTTTTTTTGCTAATTTTTTGCTGTCCTGTCTCTTATTGGTTTATTTATTATTCACACATTTTTGCCTTTATTAATTTAATTTTTTTTTCAAATTTGTATTCCATATCGTTCCCTTAATTGTATAGTAATTCTGTACTTAGTGTTGTGATTTAGTTTATTCAATGTGATAATTGTGTTGATTGTGATAAAAATTAGATTTGTACGCAACTCTTCGTTTACAGGGTTTTAAACTCCTAATATTTTAGTTCCCGTAGAAGTTACGGTATTTTTCTAATCCGGTAGATATTTGTTTAAAAAATTACAAATTTAAAAAGATTGAATTGTTGATATTTATCCAGTGAATACTCATGATGAGTGTAAATTTAGATTTAATGTATAGTAAATAAAATAATGTCTGTAGATTTTTCAGAAATAAACAAGAAAAAACATATATCTTATTCTTTTATTGCCCATTCATCACAACATTTAAAGCCAAAATGTCCTGAATTTATGGTACAGTAGAACCTGCTTAATTCGAACTTCTCTAAATTCGAAATCTTCTTTAATTCGAATTTTTATTCTGGTCTCTAGCATTTCCTATATAAGTAATGGTAAAAAGTCGTGAATAATTTGAATTATATTTTGGATAATTCGAAATTTTCTACAACCTAAAATGCCAATTTCATGCTGGAAATTTCCGCGAAAAGAGCTAGTATTCTTTTCTGTTCTCAGATTCTACTTGTTTCAAGGCATTCAAGACCATTGTAAATTGTTCCCGTATCGGTATACCCGTACCACAATCACGTCAGCACGTCATTGCGTTTTGAGAGAAGATATCGTCGCTTGGTAAATTTCGAACATGGAAGACTTTGACGTTATCGAAAAAATAGCTCACACCTATTTCTTCAAATAGGTGGATATACCAGCTTGAAGAATAAAGAAAAAATCTCAAGAGTAAAAGTGAGTGCGGTGAAGAACAAAAAATGGTAAGGACGCCAGAAAATCCAAATGTTTTAAAATGGTTCGCACAAGCCAAGAATAAGGAGCTTCACATGAGTGGTCCCCTTATCAGAAGCAAAACTGAACAATTTGTTATTGAAATGGGGAAAAACAACTTCGAGTACATGGTGGCTAGACGGCTTCAAACAAATGAAAAAAAATGGGAGGATATGATTCAGGATATAGATGAAAGAGATATCTTCAATGTTGACGAGACGGGTCTTTTTTTTAAATGCACTCATGCTTTTAAAATAGTACAAAACACTGGCATTTAAAAATAAAAAATGACACCGAGGAAAATTAAGCAAAGAAAGAGTCACTCTCTTAATTGATGCAAACATGGACGGATCAGAAATGATGCCTCTACTGATGATTGGCAAGCCTGCTAATCCGCGTTGTTTTAAGAACGTCAAGTCAAAACCAGTGGAATATGTAAGCAGCGCAAGAGCTTGGATGGCTAGGGATCTTTGCGAGAAATAACTAATGAAATTAGACAAAAAGTTCATAAAAGAAAAAAAAGTTAGTTTGTGTATTGACAACTGTACTGCCGGTCTACAACACTATACCACTAATGGAAAATGTAAAAGTTATTTTTTTCCTGCCAACACGACTTAAGTTCTCCAGCCTATGGACCAGGGCATCAAAAAAATCTTAAACATTTTAACAAACGTTTTTTGGTTGAAAACATATTGACGGAAGATTGCAACTCACTTGAAAAAAAGTTAGACCTTCTTCAAGCCTCTAGAATGTGTAAGAAATCTTGGGAGAAAGTAACACCCGAAATGATTAAACATTGTTTAAAAAAGCTAGTTTCGTAAAAAATAAGGAGAACATAGAGAACGCTACCGACACTTTAACAGAAGAGCTGCTTTCAGTCGACAGCTGGGAGGATGTTATTTCTGATCCTGCCGTCTCTTATAAAGATTTTGCTAACCGGGATAAAGATGTTGCAGTGCAGCCGAAGTAACGAATCATATTACACAACTTAGACGGTATGTACTTTGAAAGTTAAAGTGACCCACTATTTTTAGTTCATCTTAGAATACCTTAAAATCTTGTGTCATTGCCGAGAAGCTAAATTCTAAAAAGCAGCTAAAACTTTTGGATTTCTTTTTATTTCCATTTATTTTCCATTTTTTATAGCTTGCAAATGTTTTAATTGGTTTCCTTGGCAGAATTTTGCTAGCCCATTTTTTTCGGTTGACAAAATTCAGGCAAGAATAGGAACGAAAACATCTGCAAAAGATAAAAACGGTCAACCATTGTTGATTTTTATCGTTTGCAGATGTTTTTGTAGGTATCACTGTTTTTTGTAGGTATCACTGTTTTTTCGAATTTTTGGATAATTCGAATTATTGGATATTTCGAATTTTTTTAACGGTCCCCTGAGATTCGAATTATCCGAGTTTCACTGTACTATAGAACTGCTCTATACATTCCATCCTCGCTGATATTTAGGTAATGTCTACTTAGATATAATTTGCAATCAGGTTTTGCAAGACATTAGAATAAAGTCATCCCAGGAACGCAACTCAACAGTATTGGTAATATCATTTTAAAGTTATCTACTTTAAAATGTACAATGTATGTCTGAATTGTCAATATCAATAAATCAGACAACATTAAATTATTGGAAGAATTTCTCACCAAGTAACAAAAAACAAAATTTATTTACTTTATTTTTTAGCATTTTGTATTTTGAGAACGATTTCCGAAGCGGAAATCGAAACATCAAACATTAAGTTGTTGCGTATTTCCAACAAAAATAATAAATTAAATCTTTTATGCACAAACAACACATGTCCAAAAAACGAATTTCTTCTTCTTCAAGTGCCCTGTCCGTTGCGAACGTTGGCTATTAACATGGCAATTTTGATCTTGTTTGCGGCGCTTCTGAATAGTTCGACCGATGTGAGCCCGAACCACTTCCGCAGATTTTGGAGCCACGAGTGTCTTCTCCTGCCTGGCCCTCGCTTACTGTCTATTTTTTTCTGGACAATCAATCGTAGCAGATGGTACTTATCGTGTCTCAATATGTGGCCTAGATATTCAAGCTTTCTTTGTTTAATTGTATTCACGATTTCTTTCCCTTTCCGATTCTTTGGAGTAACTTTATGTTGGTGACATGTTCGGTCCAGGATATACGAAGAATGCGTCGGTGCACCCACATTTCGAATGCTTCTAATTTTCTGGTTAGTGTCTCCGTCAGCGTCCAGGCCTCCAAGCCATACAGCAAGATCGGAAAAATGTAGCATTTAACTATACGTAGTTTTAGGGGAAGAGACAAATCCTTGCTTATGAGGAGCTTTTTCATATTGCTGCTTTCAAATGCTGCTCTAGCTCGTTCTCTTCTTGCCTTAATTTCTATGGTCTGTTCCCATTTTGCATTTACGTTGGTGCCAAGGTACACATAAGATTCTACATGGTCAATTAGTATGTTACTTCTCCGTAATTGTCGAGCAGGTTGTTGCTTTTTGCTTATCAGCATCCACTTTGTCTTCTTGAAGTTGAGGCTCAGGCCGTATTTCTCACTAACTGAATAAAGTCTTTTCATTACTTGTTATTCGTCTATGGTACTGGCAAGGATCACCGTGTCGTCGGCATATCTTATATTGTTTGTTAACTCGTCCTTTATTTTTATGCCCTCATTTGCATTTTCCATACATTTGTTAAATATGTCCTCGGAATACATATTGAATACGAGTGGGGATAATATACACCCCTGACGGACACCTCTTTTGATCTGCACGCTTTCAGTGAGTTGGGGTGAGGAAAGGGTGTTTGCGGTTTTTAATATTGGTATCCATATTTTGTTAATTTGTAGTTCCTCTTCTATCCAATTAAAATTATTTGGATGCTTATATATTTCCAAGGCTTCCCGATATAATTGTGGGTAGTACTGGGATGTTTTATCCAGCACGTGCGTTTCTTCAAAGAGTATCCGATGTTCTTCCTAAAGCGTGTTCGGCAACGGCAGATTTTTCAATATGTCCTAAACGTCAATGGCTTTTATGTTCGTTTATCCTTGTGTTTGTGTGTCTTTTAGTAGTTCCCACATATACCATTCCAAATATGGATGGTATTCGGTATTCTCCGGATGTTGCTATTTGTCCTTAACCGATCTTAAACAGTCCTATGGTCTTTACATTGGCTTGTTTAAGTATTCGCCCAATTTTGTCTGTTACCCCCGATATATATGGCAAGAACGCTTTGCCTATACATGCTGTTTCTTCGTACTTTCTTCTTGAAACGTTGTTAATGGCTTTATGTATTTCTCTTCTGGTATTAGAGGTAAGCGCTTTTTCACTATGAAGTTCACTTTGTAGATGCTGTGGTTCACAAATTCTCTTCTTACTCTCCGCCAGAGATTTGATGATGCCTTGTGTTTGGCCTGGATGATGATTTAAGTTCCTGTTTAGGTATCTAAAGGTCCGTGTGTGTAGGTTTTGGATACACTTTATGTCCCAAAGAACCTTCCTTTCGATTTACCAATACATCTGGGAACACTAGTTTTTCTCTGTTTCCATCGTAAATTGAATATTTGGATGTAGTATGTTTATATAAGACAGGAAATCGATACGTTTTTCAAGATACATTATTGTTTTCGTTCTTACCATAATTAACAATCAATAAAACTATGTTTCTACGAAAAATATTTTCTTGTGTATTAATTTAGACTGAAAGTCTGACACCGTCACGATTATTCACTAGAGTAATTTAAGCCTTAACGTCACGATCGTGCAGTGTCCCTCACCGCTAAGGGGGACAAGATAGTTTTTTAATTATTTTTGTTGCGTACCATATACAGTAATAAAAGATCCAAACTAGTCAAAAATTCTGATTTAAAAAAATAAGAAATCAGACCTGAAAGGTCCATATTCATTAAACACAATCACGGCGCATATGTGTGTAAAAGAAACTAAAGTAAATATTTTTCCTAACTCGACGTGAATAGGAGACGTACATATCGATTCGCGAGTTTCTAATTTTAGCATGTAGTCGAGTATACAAAAACTGCGTTATGTGCTTCGATTTTGATAATTAAAAAAAAGTTTGTAGTCGCCGTTTGTTATAGTGTCTTATGGGTATAAAAGTGCAGGTAAACGACATAATGTTTTGCCTTTATGGGTACTATCTTTGGTTCTTGTCGGTTTATGGTAAAATATCTATTTAAATTCATAACAGTATGGTAACATATTTATTACAACTGAATGTTTGTTGACAATTGGTTTGTTATTGTATATTATTAATATTTTTACATACATACATTTACTTACATCAGATAATTAACTTATATAGGTATGTTTAATTTTACGTATAATGTTTAAGACATTACTTGTTGATCCGGTGATATTAGACCGTCTTTTCAACTAATATCTTGGATACTTTAGGACACGACTAACACTGAGTGGAATATTACAGTTTTTAAATAAAGTAGAATTAATTATATGCCCGTTGATAAGTGGGGTATACCCTAGACCAAGTCGAGTAACAATGACACGATGAGCTCTGTTGGAAATTTGATATTTCCACGGTTTTACAGATGTTTTCACCTCGCGAAGTTTTAAAGTTAAACTGTCCAACTCTCAGAATTGTTTGACTAGTTTAATAAATAATTTAAAATAATTTAGCACTACGCGTGAAAGTTGTAGACTTGGCTGTTATTTGTTGAACCTTTCTTTGTTTTCGTTCTTATTCTAACCTCCATCAGTAGCAACAATTATAAACTTTCCCCAGATTAATTATAGTAGCTCATCTCCTTCTCACAAATAACGGAATAAATCTTTCTATATAGCAGTACCTAAACTGCATATTTTTATAAGCTCCTCATAAACATTAAATTATTTATCAGCACCACTTACAAATAAGAGGAATTGTGCTGTTGTATCTGACAGAAGCGTATGTTTGTCCATTTCTATCCGTCTATTGCATAAAGGACCCAAATGGTAAACTCAACATATATAATTTCCATGAGTATTTGCTATCGACAATTTTAACCGCGTACACATCTTTCCTCTTCTTTCCTCTTCTTTCCTCTTAGGAACATTCGTTCTTAGATGTGTATTGTGTATTGCTGATATTGGCGACGTGCAAGTACTTGGATGTGATACGAGAAACGATCGTGCGCGAGTAGCGGAGAAATCTTGCATTTTTTACTGTACATTTCATAGATTTCATAAATTCATATTGTCAATTGTCATATTTTATATTCGTTTGTTTATTTACACCTTCTGTCACTGAAGAAAATGGGATTTAGGAAATGATGTGGTATAAATTGTAAAAATACAACAAAAAATTGTCAATTTAAGTTTTATTCGTTTGCAATTTCGAAGCACAAATTACTACAAAGAGAAAAGTGGATTTATGTCACAAAAAAGCATAATTAACACAACCCAAATTATGCATTATTCTTGCGCCCCAATTCAGTCAAAAGTCAGTTTGAAATAAATAATAAATAAAAGTTCACTTTTAAGTGTAAATTTAAGTTTCATAACACCCACTTAGAATTTATTTTAACCCAAAAATAAAGTTTAATGTTTAAATTTTATTTTTTTGAAGTTTACAAAAATGCATCAAGTTTTTCTGAAGATGCATTAAGATATATATTCGCTGTCCAAAAGTTTACAGGGAAAGAATTAATTGTTCAAACCAATATGGTGATATCGTGGGCTTAACCTGCTAATTTATGCATTTATGCATTAGCATTATTTATGGTAATTTATTTTTAATTCTTCCATTCTTTTTTGACATTTGCCACTACTAAAATTTTTTCCTTTGACTCAGTGCTTGGATGAAAAGTTATTTGGTGATTTACTTTCTCAAATCCAGTTTTTATTATTGCAACCATATTAACAGTAATGCTGTAATTTAATAATATATTTATTTGTTTTTACACTACATACAACGTTTACATTTTAATAACATACCGACATAACCTCAATCTTACTTTTTCTTCTTATTCTTTTTTTAGGGCTACATCCTTGACATTTATCCGGTAACCTCGATCTAACATGAAAGCGCAGTAAATTTTGCTGATTTACGACACCAGGTGTCGCTGTTCTGAACTTGCACGGTCCCAATACCCATCGGTTGTTTAAATAAATAGCAGTTTCGTTTAAAGTGACCTTGGAGTAGGTTGTTAGTGTAGCACGTGTATTCGATTTTCGAATATTAGCTAAAAATAAGGTAAGTTTGCAAAATAAAAATTATATATACGTTGATAAGACAAGTGTTGTAAGGATCTACTGATATTTTGAAATAATAAATTTATTTTGTTAGTATTTAAACCAAATAGTTACGGTTCCCGTACAGGAACATTGTACGCTCAAAGTGAATTTTGACATTCAAAAAAGAAAATATTTTTCAGTTTGTTTTTTGCAAGTTAGACTTCATTAATGCATTATTTGTTTAAATAAATTAATTTGAATAAACCTGAAGTAAACTTTCTTTTCAGAAAAAAAATTGATGAATTTGAGTATTCCAACAACATCGTTTTACAACAATAAAGCAAACAATATTCAGCCCTATAAGTTACTACAGATTTCTTCTGAAAGTCAAGATTTGGAGCTATCTGATAACGTTGAGCCTTTAGCTGCACAGACCACCAGGGCTAGAGTAATCATTGACAGTTAAGAAGATTCTGATAATGAAGATGATGATTTATCAACCGATAAATCGGATACTCAACTGTATCCAAAAACTGTGCAAAATGTAGATGAACTGCATTTCGAAGCGCACTTAAACGCACTTTCCAACCTCATTAGCCATCTATTGAATTTCTTTGATACGTCGTACGATTCTATGGAAAATACGGTATGTACTGTATGATGGACCGTCTCAGCTAGTATGCCTTGGTTTTGGGGTAATCGGCATGTCTACACTATTTGGCATTTTCCAAGTTGTTTTGCACTAGGGTAATTTATAAAAAATATAAGCGTAATTCGCACCCTCCTCGTCGCCAACTGTTGTGTCCGTACACCCTTTGTAGATATCTTAACTATCTTGTTAACATATTTTATGTGTTCCGTAGGTGTAGAATGAAACAGCAGTTTGTAATGTTATATAAGATATAACAGTGAATTACTTCCAACCAACATATTGCAGCTCAGTTCTCATTACAAATTGTTTAGTTTTTTTTTGACACCAGATTTTATAATTGAGGTAGTTCAACAAACTTGTATATACATCGCTCAAACAAATCCACAAAAGCCAATTACCACATGTCTTGTAGAAATTAAAAATTTTATGTGGATATTGCTGTGGATGCCTCTAATAAGACAACCTACTACATGACCCTATTGGGGTCCGTCAACAAGAATTTTACAAGTTTCAGACATAATTTTGAAACGATCATAATGTTTCTTCATTTTAGTAATAATTTAGAAAATACACAGAGTCTTGATAAAATCTCACTCCTGATTAAATAAATCAAAAGATCGAGTTTGTAGATACCTTTAGAACACTTTTATTGTAACGAACAAGTTGTATCGTTCAAAGGACGTTCGAGTATGAAGACATACAATCTTAAAAAGCCTCATAAATGGGGATGCAAGATGTGGGTTCTCTCAGAAATCTCAGGATTTTCATATAATTTTGAAATTTTGGCTGGAAAAGATGGTTAAACAGAATTACCGAATGAAGTAAATTTGGGAGCTACTAGTATTGTTGTAGTTCGATTGAGCAGAAAAATACCGTCTTATAAACACCACAAACTCTTCTACGATAATTATTTTTCAAGTATACCACTGGTGTCGTATTTGTCAAAACAAGGCATACCTTCCATCGCAACAATCCGTACAAATCGAATTCTGAGGTATAAAAATTGGCAAACGCAAGAATTAAAAAATTACACAGGAGACGTATTTAGGAACACTCTGGTACTTATGGCAATACTGCAATACATACAGTTCACTACAAAAATTGTGACTTTGCTGTCAAATTATTGTGGAACTCAACCAACAGCCAAAGCGGAAAGATTCTTTTAAACCAAAAGAACTAGGGAAGAAATTGATTGCCACGACATTGTACAACAATATACCAGGCACATATGCGGTGTGGATCTGCAAGATTACTTATTGGGATTAAATCCAATCAAATGGCATTTGATAAAGTAAAACATGACCGACTTATAGAAGTATTCAAAAACAAGAATCTCGATGTGAGGGATGTAACATTTATATCGAATTTATCCTACAACCAATGATCAAATGTGAAAATTGGAAGAGAAGTGTCAGAATAAGTGGAGATAAGGAGAGGGGTCAGGCAAGGTTGCATACTGTCGCCGTTATTGTTTAATGCTTATTCTGAAGAAATCATACAAGAATTTTTGGTAAACGAGACAGTCGGCATAAAAGTGAATGGAAGTTTAATTAACAACATTAGATATGCCAACGATACAGTCATAATCGCCGACAACTTGGAAGACATAGAAAAAATAATGAACAAAATATTAAGATATAGTGGAAAATACGGACTCTCTCTTAATATCAAAAAAACTAAACTCATGAAAATTAGAAAGAACAACAATACAAATGAAATACTAACGGTAGACGGACAGCAGATTAAGAGAGTAAAAAGATGTACTTACTTGGGAACGATAATCACAGAAAATAACGATTATACTGCAGAGATAAGCGTCAGAATTGAAAAAGCACATGCCAACTTCGTAAAAATGAGAAAAATTTTATGCAGCAAAGACCTGACATTGGCCCTCAGAATAAGGCTAATTAAATGCTATGTACACAGTGTACTCTACTATGGAGCTGAATCATGGACATTAAACCGGAATACAATAAATCGGCTTAACGCGTTTGAAATGTGGACATTTAGAAGATTGTTAAAGCTTTCATGGGTTAGATAGAGTCACGAATGTAGAAGTGTTAAGGAGAATAGGAGAATAGAAAGGGAAGGAAAAGCGTATTAAGAAAACGCGATTCCTGGTTGAAGAGCCTGAGAGAGTGGTTCGGTTGCAGCTCAAGGAAACTGTTTAGAGCAGCTGCCCCGAAGGTCAGAATAGCCATGATGATTGCCAACCTTCGTCGCGGAGATGGCACTTAAAGAAGAAAATCAAAAGCAAAAAATGGTACAACCGTATTTTCTAGCATATGCTGGACGTAGCAGTAGCCAATGCTTGACTATTAGATAGGCGAATAAAAACCCAATTTAGAAAACTTGTATGATTATGCAACTACTGAATTTTAAAATAATATTAACTAAACAACTAACTAAAAGTAATGTTTTACAAGGAAGAAAAGTAGGTCGGCCTAGAAGTTCCACACCCAAACAACCATCCAAAAGAAGATGCATTGAACCTAGACTCAATACATATGTACAAACAGATCAGTTTTTACACTAGCCAAACTAGACAATAAACAAGGAAAGATGTAGGATGATAAACTGTAAGGGAAAATCAAACGTCCAGTACGAGAAATGCAAGGTGCATTTATGCTTTTATTCTAAAAGTAGTAACTGTTTTAAGAAGTTTTACAATGTGGAATAGTTTGATACTGACAATAAATTGATCTTATGTGTGTAACAATTGGTTCTAATAAAATAATACATAATGTTCCCAAATGGGCACAATTTTTTCCCAAAAGCCGGATCATAAAAAAAGTGTGTAACGGTGAATTCTACATATATCTTAAGAGTGATAACCTTTACCTGAGGTACAAGGTCTTAACAATGGGCCAAGTCAGATAAATTTAATAATATTTACGACTGCAAAAATTAAAGTCAACCTTTTTCTGCTAAACAAACTTTAACTAATCTACTCGACTTAAGCGAACTCTTCCCTAACAAAATTTCTAGCTAGGTCTAAATCTACCTTTATATGTTGTGAAAATAGTTTATTTTTATTTTATTTTTAGAATAACAGTTATTAGGAAGTGAATAAAAATATATTTTAAAAACATGGAGGAAAAAAGACAGGATCAACCACGTTTTAAACTCATTTGCCAAAGATACTACCAACTGAAACTTCGAAAAAAGTTCGGAAAAATAGATCTTAATTCTAGGTAGGTAATTAGATTGTATTTACAATAGGTTATAGATCGTCGAATTTCAATAGTTAGCATGCAAGCTTGTCCAACATGCTTGTTCAATCTTTTTGTTCAAGAACGCTTGAGTGTTTGTAGTGAAATGTGGTACAAGCTTTGTGATTGTACAAGCAGTTTGAGGATTGAAAGACTAAATTATAAGAGAGTTGATATAGAGTTGTGCTGGAAGGTGAAATCAAAAAGATTAAAATAGAAAATTTTAGGGTTTTTTAGGTAAATCTGCGTGAAAATTAAATTGCATTTTGTAAAGAAAATCGCATGTGCTGCGACGATTTGCTCTCTTATGCCAAAAAATTACCAAAAAAGTACCTTGTTTGTGACTCTTAACTGGCTAGACCAATAACAGTTTATTTTGAGTATTATTAATCTCTGTAACAAAAATTTATGTTTCCGTTTCCTGCAGTAAATTTTTTTGGTTTAATTATGTATAAACAAATGAATATTTAGTCTTGTAGTACTTAAAATGTAATAATAATTTCAAAGCGATCGGTCCAATTGTTTAAAACTTATTTTATTTGTTAATGCAAATTTAAATTTTTTTGCGACAATATTAGTCAGAAAAAGATGAAGTTACAGTAATTTTAAGACTAGTTTATAAAAGAAGAAGAAATGTTCTATCAACATTATTAAAACAAATACATTATCTCTAAAAATAAAATCTTTACAACCAAAAATGTAAAATATTAAAAATTTGCTTCATAAGTAGCTCGACAACCCTTTCTGGGTCCTGGCTTGTTCTAGGATTTTCCTCCATTCTGTTCTGATCCTTTCTTTGTTTTTCCAGTTGGTAATCTTTAGTGTTATCAGATCTTGTTCCACTTGTTCCATGTATCTAAGTTTGGGTCTTCCCTTTTGACCTTCTCCCTACTGGTGTTTGCCTCATTATATGTTTTGGTGTTTCAGTCTCCAACATCCGTTCAACATGGCCCATCCAGCGCACACGTCCGATATTTATGAATTTTATGACCTCGCGTTCATTGTAAGCTGTGTATAGTTCAAACCCTAATAGCACACGTACTTCCAGTGGACGTCCATAGTACGTCCCTCACGGACTTTAAGGACGTCCTTCGGACGTCCGCTATGGTCCTATTTACGTCCGTTTTACGTCCTATATTGGTCCGAATGTCGCTGCGCCGAACGTCCTATGGACGTCCATTTTACGTCCCGAGCGGACGTTAGTTGGACGTACCGGGACGTTAATTGGACCTTAATCGGACGTCCATAATACGTCCGGAGGACTTACTTGACGGACTTTTGTGATGTTCTCGGACGTCTATTTTAGTGCTGAGGATATAAATTAGACGTCAACGCCATTGTATAAAATACTAAAAGTGGTGTCATCCTGTGCATATTAAGAATGTATTTTGGGAAATAAAACGTAAATGTTTAAAGGAATTTACATTTATTGTTACATTTATTTATTATTAACAAATGGGACAAATCCACTGTCCAAATTATACAAAAATGCAACATTATAGAAATATAAAATAATTTTTAGTAATAAAACATAAATGTTTAAAGGAACTAACATTTATTATTACATATATTTATTTATTCATAACAAATGGAACAAATTCACTGTCAAAATTATACAAAAATGGAACATTATAGAAATATACACAAAATTACAGATAAAAATAAAATATACATGAATAAATAGGTACACATTTATAAAAAGTGTCATTTAGCATTTTAGTGCTTCAAATAGTACCTAAACCTATTGATACAAAAGTTTCAGACCATATCTATGTGTGAATCATAATTAGTTCTGCGGTAAGGAACATGGAAATATAAATTCTGACACAGTGAATGGGAGGAATATTAAAACAAACTAGCTGAAGCAATTCAGGAGATTGGTTATTTTATGAACAAGTTTAAAAATAAAGATTAAAAGGTAACACTTTTGATAAGAGAATCCAGATTCAAGAAATTGATCATACCCGAATAAGAATATGGTCTACACAATTTGCAAGAACAGTAGATGCGACAAGTCAGTATAAATCTAATCGACATAAAAAATGTTTTTTAATGCAATTATAACATATAGTGTAAATTAGTAGAAGTTGAACAACTAGACAGTAAGTAAACCATGCTGACCAGTATGAAGCTGATTCTTCAGATTTATTGTCAAAAAATCAGTCAGTAAAGCCTCGAAAATTTTAGGAATAGTAGAAAGAATTATAATGGAACGATAATTAGGAATCAATGAGTTAATGGATGAATCAATGGATAAAATCAATAAATAAATTGTGATGAAAAGTGACCCTCAGAGATTTATAAAAAATAAGCCATAGAGGCCTACATAAAAAGAATGCACAATTCCTTAAAAATAAGTTACGATATTCCATCTGGACCAAGACCTTTATTGGTATTAAGACACTGTAAGCATGCTAGAATGTCACAAATTTTAATAGTTAAAGAGTAAATATGGGTGTGACTGATATGGGATCTTTGACTACACTTGTCTACACAGGAGAAAGAAGGATTGTGAATACTGCTGAAGAAATTGGCAAAATCGTTGAAACTGTGGCTCACTAAAAACAGAACCATTCAACTTCCCTTATCCATTCCCATTCTGATTTACCTTACAAGTGTGTGGTCGGCAATTAAAAGCAGACAAGTCAATTGTTGAGTTTTAAAGTTGAAATTATAAGTATGAAAAAGATCAATACTTAATATGGAACTTTGTTTTATTTCAGCAGTAGATAAATTTTTAGGTACCTATTTTTAATAAATAAAACAGTCTCAAAAATTGACTGTTCCTTTCTGTGCACCAACCACACAATTTAATCATTACAAATTATCAATTTGCTAATGCAACATGCAAATTAAATTTTATTTGCCTCCTCTTTACATCTCAGATATTTCATTATCAAGTTTCAATTTCCTTCTCTATGGCAACACTGGTCTTGGAGTTTTTCCAGACAGCATCTGAAAACAAAATTAATGTACTATAATGTAATGTAATAAATTGAACAAATTAATTTCAGATTTAGTTCATTATACTTTGCTTATTGTAAATAAATCATCATTCAAAGGCGTATGATTAAACAACTGAATTTTAAGTGCTGTAGTTTAATGGATCTCACCTGAACTAGAAGAATACCAACAAAAACCATAGGTATTTATTTCTAACTGACCAATGAGCAGTAATACATTTTGATACTTAAAAAACAAAATAACAGTATATAAATAAAATATATACAGCCAACAACAAACCTTCATTTCATATAGCTAAGTGTAGTTCTTAAAGAAATCTCATAGCCAGACCCTGAATATTTGTGAAATGGTAAAATTTGCCATCTAAATTACATATAAGACACAGTTAAAAATATGCTTCATCGGCTGTATATGGTCACTAAGTGACTAAGAAGTGTAAGTTTTTAAATGTTCCTTAGATTGATTTATGTTTAACAGTTATAAACCTTTTAAAATCAGAGCTATATGTGCGTCTTCAAAAGCTATATATTGCTTTTTCCCTAGCCAACTATATTTTCCTTGAATTTTATTGCAGACCAGCTTCTTATGGCTTCTCCTAACAAATTCGTTTATGGTTTCCTCACCAATTTTGAAAAACTCATTATCCTAAAATATAAATCAACATGTAACAGTAATCTAACTACCCCACAAACTTGATCATCCATGCTTAATTATTTTTAGTTTAAACTATCTAATAACCCTTACAAACCCTGTACTCACAATCGTGAGTGTCATAACAAACTACTAAATAAAGGTCAAAATAATTTATGACTTGGTTTAGACCCGAATCGTTCGATTGTGTTATACCGCCTACCTACGTTTTTGTGCGAAAGTGGGGTTAGTTTGCAAATGCGACGAAGAATTCGTTTCTCAAAGTAGTGTTTTATTTGTTGTCATGGCGTCAAAACGTAAGTATTTATTTTGTTTATTTTTCAATGTGTATTTTTAGCGTTGATATGGAGATCATATTGTAAAATGGTTATTAATTACAGTGTTTTAAAAAAATTAATAACAAGTTTGAGATCTGGTGACACAGAACCGTATTTAGATGAATGTCATAATTGTGACCTTTGGGTCTCAATGACTACGTAGCTTACCTAAATATGTGTAAATAAATTAAATCTTTTTGTTACAGGTTCAAGTTCCAAAATTAACTTGGACGACATACGAGCCAATCCAGATAAAATCTACGACCTTTTGGATGATGTTGGTTCCGATTTTGAGTTCGAAAATGAAGACGACGATGAGTGGCAGCCTATACTTGAACCTACATGTCCTACTTATGAATCAGAAAATAGTGACTCTGATGATGATAACTCGATAAATGAAAATGTTGCTTCCACAAGTAATGCTTCAAATCCAATCGTAAAAAAGCATGAAAATAAAAACAACAAATGTCATAAAAGAGAGCAAAGTTTTACGTGGGAGAAAAGACCATTTCCTCAAGTAGATGTTTCAAATGAAGTAGTTGGAGATATTGGAGAAATATTATCGCCATTTCAATATTTTGATAAATATTTACCACAAGCATTTTTTGATTTGGCCGCAGTACGTACAAATCAATACTACGTACACAAAAATGGTAATCTACTAAAACCGCATGTAACTTCTGAAGAAATTAAAAAGTTTTTTGGAATGCATGCAATTTTGGGATGCATTAAATATCCACGAATACGTATGTACTGGCAATCAAATTTTAGACTTTCTGTTGTAGCTGATACGATGTCAAGAAATCGTTTTTTTACACTCCGCACAAACTTCCATGTTGAAGATGAAAACAGGGTCTCCAACGAAAACAAAAAAAAATAATAAATTGTGGAAAGTTCAACCTATGATAGATTTTATTAGAAAAAGATGTAGAGAAATTGAAAGACCAACGGGAAATTATTCAATCGATGAACAAATGATACCATTTTTAGGCAGATGTGAACTGAAGCAGTACGTCAAAAACAAACCTAGGCCCGTGGGTTTGAAAAATTTTGTAATGACTACTTCGACAGTATTGTGACGGACTTCGAAATATATCAAGGCAACACATCTGCGTTCGCAAAATTCAAGAATTGTGGCCTAGGCTCCTCTGTCATATTATATTTCGCAAATACTTTACCGAAAGGAAGTCATATATTTTTTGACAGATATTTCAATTCTGTAACATTAATGGAGGAATTAAATAAAATTGGAGTGTATGGAAACGGGTACCGTTATGATTAACAGATTACAAGCACCAGCAGCCTTCAAAAATGACAAAGAAATGCCTAGAGGAGAATCAGAACAGTTTACTAGATGTGATAGTCTAATGTGTCTTGTTAAGTGGAAAGACAATAAAGGTGTCCTGATGTTGTCTAATGCACTTAGTGTCGAGCCAGAAGCCGTAGTAAAAAGATGGTGTAAATCTGAGAAACGTTTTGTCGAAGTTTCATGCCCTAATATTGTTAAAACATACAATCAGAATATGGGTGGGGTCGATACATGCGACCAAATGATGGAATTATATAGAACATATTTCAAAACTCGTAAGTGGCCATTCAAAGTAATTCTACACTTATTCGATTTGGCGATAGTAAACAGTTGGATGGAGTATATTAGGGACTGTAGGGCTAATGGTTATCGCAGGAAAGATATAATGGATTTTCTGTCATTCAGGATAGCTTTGGGAGAGTTTCTGATTGGAGGTTTGAGACCTAAAAGAAGTAATAACACAGAAGGTGCAGGGAGCGAAGAAGGAGAAAATGAAGACAGATTGGAAAATCCGCAAAAGAAACTGAAACGATTTCCGGTTAAATTACCTGAACAAGATAAACGTTACGATGGTTATGAGCATTGGCCTCTGAAAGATGATTTACAAAATCCGCTTTCTTGTCGGTTGGAAGCTTGTCAAAGCCGTTCACGCATACGTTGTAGTAAATGTAATTTATTTATGTTTAAGTAAAAACAAAAATTGTTTCAAAGCATTTCATACGCGATAGTTTCTAAGTAATATATGTTTACATTATGTATTAAGTTGTTCAATATATCTGCTGTCAATATTTTTGAATAAAATATTTTAATATCGTCTTTATTTCTTTATTTTACTCAGAAGTTTTTAAGTCCCAGAGTATACAATTGTGACTATCTCACAATTGTGAGGCTGTTTTGTATGAAACCAAGGCACACAATTGTGAGGGTCCTTAAAAACGTCCTGAGGGTCCTTAAAAAATTCTGAAACAAATTGAATGTCATTTGCAACCCAAATACAGTAAAAACAAGACATTGGTATCCTTCTGCAAAACCTTATCTTGTCATGGGTCTGTAAGGGATAAAAAAACAGGCTCTGTTAAAAAATCAATCAAACATTCATTTGCAAATTTTGGTTTCCATAACCATGGTAAATGCCTTTAAATTTACAATTTTAGGATATATCAACAAATTATACAAACTAGGATAAAACTGACTACTAAAACTCTTTTTTAGTGAGATTCCATCAAAATTTACACACATTTCTATAACATGGTTTTATTGTGAAGAAAAATAAAAATATGTTTGAAATTTGAATAATATGGATCCGAGTAATTGTTCTCTGGGTGAAGCAAGAAGGGTTCTAGCATCTGAACTTAAATGAGAAAGATCAGGAACTTCTTTATGATTTTTTAATAAATCACCTAGTATTAAAGGACAAAGTCCAGTTGCATAACTTATTAGAAAAATTAAAAACATCTCGATAAGGTTCTCCAGAATTCTCGTTACAACCATATTTAGACCCTTCTTCAGTTTCATTGAAAAAAATGCTTTGTAAAGTATCATTGGAATGGTCGGCCACGTGGTAATTTGGATTATTTTAGGTACTTAACATGTTAATAAAAAGTTTAAATCGGAAGTATTGTAACCAGAACTAATTTACTTTTAAACATAAAAAATTTTAAGAAAAATTACTTACCTTTTTGTAATAAAATAAAAACCAAATTCGGAAATAACCTAACAAAAATGGTACCAAACCTTTAACAATATACTAACAAAGGAAGCATCAAAAAGACCAATGCACTGTACACTGCTTAAATAGAGTTCTTTTATTTCTTTTATTAAAGCAATAATAATAATAATACTATTATGATTAAACTGTACGATTTGTTTAAATAGGTATGACATGACAATGACAATATTGACAATTAATTTAATATCACCAATCATCACATGTCATAATATCACATCATTATTTTTCATTATTTTGTCTTTGAAAAGACAAAAGAGATAAATTATTCTGTGGAAAAGATTATCAAGATTCATCTTGTCGGTAAAAATCATATTTTTACTTATTAGAATTAGCAAACATATATCTTGATAACTAGAATAATAAAACAATTGTAACGAATTATCTAGAAATAAAAGATTTTTACACTTTACCTAAAAACAAAAACATGTTTTGGATATATTAAACTATACAATTTTTAATTAATTGTGATTTAAACCTTTTCGCTTTTAATTATTTTATTAACGTAAATAATTTTTTATTTTATTGAAATATTTGCTATTTGATCCCATAATTGGTAAATGTCGGATGTCTAGAAAACGTCCGATTTCGGACGTCCAGGGAACGTCCGAGTATGGACGTCCAGGGAACGTCCGAGTACGGACGTCCAGAGAACGTCCATATTTAGTCCACCCAAAGTACGTCCCACTTCGTACGTCCATAGTACGTCCATTTTACGTCCAGGGACGTCCGGACCAAAACTGGACGTATATTGGACGTCCATAGAACGTCGTGTGTTACTAGGGAAGTTATATCTTCTGCGCCATATGTCATTTTCCTTCACTCCCATATATATGTGTCTAAGGATTTTTCGTTCAATCGTACCTAATAGATTCTTATCGCTTTTCGACAGTGTTAATGTGTCTGATCCATATACAAGGACCGGTTTTATTAGGGTGTTGTCTAAAAATTTGCTTACCATATCAAAAAATGAAAAATATTCCCTACTGATTTCAAACTAAAACTATCCTTTATGAGTGGTCGTAAGCTTACATTTTAATGAGTTTTTTCCACATAAAGATACTATTCTTTAAATTTTATATCATTTAAGAGTATCACATATTATCAGTGATATTTATTTTTAGGGATATCTGGAATAACACTCCTTTACATAACGCTCTAAAATATGGCCACGAAGAGCTGGCAAGGTTGCTTATAAAATCAGGAGCATGTGTTAATAATGTAGATACAGGTGGTAACACGCCATTGCATTTGGCAGCACGAATCGGAACTACGAGTATATACACGGTACGCCTACTTTTGAAACACATGTCCGATGTCAACAGTACAAACAATATCGGATTTACACCTTTGCACGAAGTTGTATATGCAGAAAATGTGAAAATTGCAAAATGGTCAATAATAAATTATTACTATGGTAATAAATCAAATTATACAATAAGTATACCCAACCAACTGTATTCTGTTTACGATAACACTGGTAGTAAGTTCCTTAAATTTAACCTTCTGGATCCACCTACTTGCTTAACGAAAGATACTACGGCTGTGGTTAAAATTTTAGTAGAAGCAGGCGCAGATGTTAATCAACAGACTGCCGAAGGCTGGACCGCATTACATTTTGCGGTTGAACGGAGTCTTGTAGATGTTGTTGATATACTATTGCAAAAGTAAGTCAGTAAGTCATTGATTTATGTAATAATAATATATATTGAGTAATGAAAACAATAATGATAATAATTTATCCCATTCCCTGCTACGATCCCCATTTGGGAATCAAGTTGTTTTTTGTATCAGTTGGCAGCAGTTATCATAAATTTCAAGGTAAGTGACTTAGTGTCAACTACAATAGATGTATCCGCAGCATATCCCGGACATATTCCGAATAAGTTCGGGAAAAGTTTTCAAAGCGCAGCCGTCATCGTAAAGTTGTCCTGGACATAATCAGGACTTTATGCACCGCGAACAGTCTTCGGATTCGAAATGTAATGATGGGTTGCCTTAAACAAGGTAATATAAGGAAGCCTTTTCTAATTTTGAAATTGAAATTAATGTCGACCAATGATATAATATACTCGTTGTACATTAACATCGTGAATGTCAACATATGCAACAAAGTATGTCAACAATAGAAATAGCAGGCAGGGATTAGTTTTTCTTAGAAAGTTAGAAATTTGATTAGCGTCTTTTATTTCAACAATGTAATTTGGTATTTTCACGTCAAAATTCTTTTTTACTACTTACAATTCAGTACCATACATAATGAATGGTCTAACGTTAATCTTATAGAATTTACCTTTTTGTTCTATTTGTAACTGTCTATCATACAGCATTCTGCTCGTTTCTCTATTTTATCCATCATTATCTAATTTTACCATTTGCATTGGAATTTTTTTTATTGTTTAATAAAACTCCAACAGGAATCTTATAACTATTGCTATCTGATCATTCACTATGATCAATAAGCAATTTAGTTCTATATATAAATATTACAAGAAACCTATCTAAGGTTATATTCAGCAATATTCCTTAGGCTCTAATACATTATAGTACTACTAGCTAACGTGTACACTTTAGCCGCACTTTACTCTGCTTTTTCACTTTCACTCACTTATAGCACCTAAATCAAACGGCTTCGTTCTCTTTAGTCTTCTTATCTGGTTGGCGTTGTCTAGGATTTTGATGGCCTCGACGTTCACGTGGTTGAAGAGCCTTTGTTCATGACTTTCGGCAAACTTACTTATTGTCTGGATAACTGTATCCATCTGGAGGTCTCGATGAAGATCACAGTTTCTAAAGTACCATGGAGCGTTAACGATGTTCCTTAATACTTTATTCTGATATCGTTGTATATCTGGATGTTGCTTCTTTTGTACAGCCCCATAGCTGTATTCCGTATGTCCATATCGGTTTAAGGACTTGCTTATATAGTAGCAATTTGTTGTAAATAGACAGAGTGGATTTTTTTCCCATCAACCAGTACATCTTTCTGAACTTAATTTCTAATTCCTTCTTTTTTTTCTTTACATGTGCTTTCCAACGTAGCTTGGAATCTAACGTCATACCCAAATATTTTGCCGTATTTGCATAAGGTATTTGGTTTTTATTTATATGTACTGGGATATGTTGTTCTCTTTTGTTGTAAAATTGACATGAACAGATTTTGTTTCATATAATTTGATACGCCATCGGCTGGTCCAGATGTTAATTTGTTCAACAGAGTTCTGTAGCATGGTAGCTGTATCCTCGTGGTTTTTTGAGACTGCTAGAATGCATGTGTCGTCTGCAAATGTCACAATTGTGTTAGGTTCTAATGATGGAATATCGCTGATATAGAGCAGGTATAGCACTGGCCCCAGGACACTTCCTTGTGGAACTACAGCTTTAACTTCTCTTAGTTCTGAATATGCTTCCTCATATTTAACTCGAAAGTATCTGTCGGATATATATGATTCTAGTAGTTCAGAATATTGTTTTGGTAAGTAACATCTCATTTTATGATATAGTCCGTCATGCCACACCTTGTCAAAACCCTGCGCTACATCGAGGAAAATTGCGGAACAAACTTTTCCTTTTTCTAGAGCTTTTTCTATGATATCTGTTATTCTATGCACCTGATCTATCGTTGAGTGGCTTGCTCTAAACTCAAACTGATAATTAGGAATTGGATTTTTTCCTCTATAATCGGTTTTAGTCTCTTTTTGCATTGGAAATGACATTTTTAAAAGAACATTCCAAAGAACGGTCCAAATATGTTTTGGATCTACGTAATTTTGTAAGAATTTCTAACATTGTAATTATTGATTGAATGAAGTAAGACTGCTGGTTGAATATGAATATGTAATAGCAGTGCAATTACTGGCAGTACATATTGGTTGTAAATTTTGTCTTTAATCAGATCGGGTTTCATGAGTATATAATTCTGTAATAATTCAAAAAAGATTTCAGATATACACTTGCCATCTTTTCTACCAGTCTTTATTGTCTGGTATTATTTTATAACCGGTAGTAACAAGCGCATCAAATTGACAATAAACAAATGAAAACCGTATTGATTTTCATAATAAATTGAGTTTATACAAAAATAAAATCTGCCAAAAATTAGAAACAGGAAAAGGAAAAGTAAGAACACCTCACAGTGGCAAATAAACATTATCCTTATAGTGCAGTAGAAAAAACAACTTCAGTCTGGTAACTACAGCGGGTGATCAAATTATTATGATCACTGCAATCAACTTTGTATATTGGTGTTTAATAAAGAATAAGACTGCATCTAAGCATCTAATGATATAATTATAATATAAAACTAGATCAGGAACAAGTTTTTTACAAAATTTTAAAATATTTTTTTCTTTGATCTTAAATAACAATTTTTTTAATATTTCGTGTGCTCTCTTTTAGCTTCAATGATAGCCTTGATTCATCTTGGCATGCTTTAAATGTTTTTCAGTTTCAATGAGTCTCTCAATTAGCTACAGCTTATTTGTGACGATTTCTTGTAAATCCCCCCGTTCATGAGCTCCAATAGATTTTTGATGTACAGAATCCAAACTCTAATTGATTGTATCTAAAAGTAAAGTGTCAGAAGTATTGCATCAGTTGCATGACGATGCATCAGGTGGATACTTTGGTATTATGAAGACTCTGCAAAAAGTTCGAGAACGGTTTTATTGGGTGAACTGTAAATATGATGTAAGAATATGATGCCAGAAATGTGAACTGTGTGCCACCAGTAATGATCTAGTTAATAAAAAGAGGGTACCCATAAAACAGTAAAATGTTGGTAGTTCCATGGGAAGAGTAAAAATCGACATTGCAAGTCTATTTTCAGAAGCGGATGATGGAAATAAAGATATCCTGGTAGCCACGAATTATTTTATGAAATAGACTGAGGACTAGGTGATACCAAATCAAGAAGCTGCTACCATTGCAGAGGTACCTGTTAAAGAATTCGTTAGCCAATTTGGTGTTCCCTTGGAGATCCAGCCCGACCAAGGGCAAAACTTCAAATCAACCCTTATTCTAAACGTTCGTAAATTATTTGGTATCAATAAGACCAGAACGACACCTCTGCATCCTTAATCAGATGGATCGGTTGAGAGGATAAATCGATCAATGGGTAAACACCTGTCCAAAGTTGAATCCGAACATGAAAAAGATTAGGACCGGCATATTCATTTATTCCTAATGGTCTACCGCTCAGGCATGAATGAAAATGTTGGGTCGTGAAGTTCGTTTGTCCTGCGACCTAGAGTTTGGATGCAAATCTTCCAACAAACATATTGTAAGTGAGGCATATGTAGACCGCCTGAAGTTACGAATAAACAACATTCATGAACTTGCCCAACAACACATCCAGTTAGACAGTGGGAGAACGAAAGATCAATATGATTCTTGATGCAAAAATTAAACTTTGAATTAGGTAATCTTGTTTGGCTTTATAATCTACAACGTTGTCTCCTAAACTGCAACGAAAATGGAAGGTCCGTATGAAATTAAAAAGAAATTAAATGACGTAATCTACCGAATTTAAGAGTAGCTAAAAGGTAAATAAAAAGTTGTTGACATAACTCGTCTGGCACCTTATTCTGACTCAAATGAACCAAAAAAAGCACCACCCCTTCAACATAAGATTAAAGATGACCAGCGACGAAGCTTTAAGGAATTTATGTCAAATTAAGCAGAAAGAAAGAGTGCTAGATTCGGTGTGACCACAGAAGTTTAACAAGATCTTTTTTGTTTCGGAAAATGTCTCTCTAACGTTGAAAGAGTACTGCGATTAGAAGATGGTTTTCAATCTGTGCTGTATATGGTGACCAGTAAGTCTTATACAGACAAGGCAAGCTACGAGGACATATGGCGTGCTTTAACTAATTTAAAAAAAATTATGTGCTATTATGACATCAAACATTTGGCTGTACCAAAGATATGCCATGCACAAGAAAATTTGGATTGGAAGATTGTGAGAAGCATGCTTGAAATGATCTTCCAAAAATCCAGCGTACCTATTACTCTGTGTTGCATTAAACTGAAGAAGTCGTGCCCCTTAAAGTCAGTAGACTGTTATTTCTCCTTAAGGTGTTCATGCAGAGCTGGAGAGTCCTGTAGATTAGTGTAGATTCACCAAGCTGGGAGTACATATAGAGTTACTGATCGAGACGCTCACATCTAAGAGTAGAGCAGTGTAACGAACAAGCTTATTTCAACGTACCCCATACAACGGTTGCATCTCGAGACGATGATGTGTATTTATAATGTATCGACTGCCTGACAGATCGAGGCGTTCTGTGAACGCCTTAATATTAGCGAGAATAGAGGTGGGCTATTCCAGATTATTCTGGTACATAATAACTTGTATAAATAAGCTGCGCTGATATTAGTTTAGTTTAGTTGATAATATATTACCGTACTCTTAACTTATAAATAAATATATTTATATACATTAGACCAGCGCGTTTTATAGGTAAAACGCTACAATATGTATATCCAATCAACAAGTGTCGGTCATATTTATATCGGCATTACCCATATCCACTACATATTACCACTATCTACTTAAATGTTGGACGTCTCCTAGCGCGTACCAAGTATAGATGCTGGTTGGGAAAACTCTTCATTAATTAAAATTTAGACTCTATAAGCATTTCATGGTGCCCTCTAGTATTTTTAGAAGAATTATCAAATAACAATGATTAAAATTTCTGGTATTTTACATTTATGTAATTTATTTTTAGCACAATTTAGTACTTTTTTATATTGTTACTTGTTTTAGTGGGGCTAGCGTTATCTTATCCGCGCGAAATCTGCCAGAATGTCTACTGCTTCAAATGCCACGAAAGGTACGAGCATTATATGGAATCATCTATAAAGTAGTTAACGACAGCTATATAAATGTACACTCTGGTACTACTGTTTTGCATCAAGCTGCAGAATTGGATATAACGTATATAGCAAAAGTTATTTTAGATAAAGGTGCTGATATTAATGCACAAGATTCTAGGGGAAAAACTGCTCTACATATTGCCGTAGATAATTTTCAATATGATATGATCGAATTTCTAATATTAAATGGTGCCAATATTAACATAAAAGATAACTATGGACATGTTCCTTTAGCGAATATATTTGACTGTGTTGATTTTGATTTTTGTGTTTCAAAACACATGGTTAAATACATTGTTTTATGGCAATACGACCAGGAGCATATATTTATGAAAAGTAAGTAAATACAGTAATTATTATTATGGGTATAGTTGTAGATTGTGAATTAAAAAATTTGGACATATTAACCCATTCGCTGCCACGTTCCAAATTTGGAACGATTGTTAGTTTCGCTGCTGGTTACAAGATGTCACTGTTGGTCTTAAAATCTGATGTTCGGTTGTTCGGTAGTGTCAAAACAACACCTCCATAATAAATTTACTCACTGGTTTCGTATAAGCGGCATTTGTTTTGTGATTCATATCAAAATTTCTAGGAAGGTGCAGTTGTATAACTTCTAGTTCGATTATATCTATTTTCTGTTGTGAAATATTACGATCGGGGTCAGTTTAAGCAATATTGTATGCCTAAACAATGTATCTGTATCGTTTAAATGCTTAACCTCAAATTGAATATACCGAGTAACCTCTAGTTTTTGCATGTTCCAAAAATGGAACTTGGCGGTATATGTTGCTAATTGAGGTTTTTCTTTTTAGTTTGATATTACGGATGTGAAAACATTTTATGGAAAGAAAACTAGTTGTTCAGCTAATACTCTGAACAATCTAATCGATGGACTAAATAAGAAGCAGAAGGAGTTTGATTCTGCAAACATATACATTTATCCTCCAGCGGAAGATTCTGATGAAGATTCTGAATCATCGGATAATGTGAATTTCAATGATTTTTCTGATAAGTTTTCATCAAAGACACTGAACGCCCCAGCTGAGGCAACTCTTATTTCGCAATGTGAGACACAAGACGCTGAAGATATGTTCTCGACGAGCGATGATGAACTTCCAATAAATGTGGGTCAATCTAATAAAAGAGCGAATAAATCCAATAGACAAAGCGACTGGAAAAGAGGTGACTTATTCCTAGATAATCATCAAGAAAATATCTCACTTTCAAATCGAAATAATGTTCACTGTGAAAGTGCAGTCGATTTCTTTACACTTTTTTGGTGTGATCACTTCTTTGAATACATAAAAGACGAGACTATAAAGTATGCCCGACACAAAAATGCAAACACATCATTTGAGGTTACGATTGAAGAACTCAAAGTATTCTTTGCAATCCTAGTGATTTCTGGTTACTCCCAAAGGCCTCGGAAAGATATGTACTGGAGTTTGGATTTGGATCTCAGAAACGAAGCAATCGCCAACGCAATGCCGAGAAATAGGTTTAGAGAAATTTTTGTAAAATTTACATTTTTCAGATAATACTAAACTACAAAAAAATGATAAGTTTGCTTAAATAAGACCACCCATAAAACATTCCAACAGTTCATTTATAAAGTATGTGCCGGTTGGTGAAATCATATCAGTATCTGTTGATGAATCCATGGTACCGTACTACAGCCACCATAGCTGTAAACAGCGTATTTAAGGGAAACCTATTAGATATGGGTTTAAATTTTGGTCTCTGAATTTATCGAATGGTTATCTTGTGGGTACCGAACCTGACCAAGGGAAAGGAACCTTACTAGCAGAGAGTAACTTGGGGGTAGGTGGATCTGTGGTTACAACTTTTGCCGAGAGGGTGAAGCATAATTTTCCAGATCAAAAATTTTACTTTTTTATTGACAACTTTTATACCGGACTTCCACTGATAAAGGCCATGAGTGAATTGGGATATGGTTGCACAGGCACCATTAGACATAATCGAATTGGGAAATGCGCGTTGAATAAAAACGCAATGAAAAAATCAGTTAGAGGATCCGCTGATTCATACACAAGTTCTAATGAAGATATAATAATTATCCAGTGGAAGGATAATGCCATCGTTCACGTGGCTTCAAATTGTTATGACGTTCAACCTACAAAATCGGTACGTCGTTATTCTGAAGCAGAAAAAAGTATATAATGGTAGACGTTCCCTACGCAATTCAGCAGTATAATACTCATATGGGAGGTACTGATTTAATGGATAGAAATATCGCTAATTATAGACCAAAACTGCGTAACAATAAATGTTAGTGGCAAATTTTTGTTCACCTTTTGTCTGCTTCAATCTCTAACGCATGGATTTTACATAGAATTCAACACCACAATAACATTCAATCTAACGCTGATGAATTCGTTGAAAGTATGCGTCCATTGGATTTATTAGGGTTTACAAGAAGCATTGTGGCAACATATCTACTACTCAACCCTCGACAACCAAAACCTGATAAGACAAAATTAGGAACATTATTTCGAAAAATTCCAGGATCTGTTTCACAAAATATGTCGGTTCTGCATTACCCAATTTCTTTAAAACAAAACAGATGCAAAATTTGTAAAACAAACACAACTTTTGGATGCGGTATTTGTAAAATTAATGTAGATCCTATTAATTGCTTCAAATCTTTTCATGAAAAAAATTAATAGATCCTCTCAAAATGTTATCATTTTTTTATCAATAAATGTTTAAGTTTAAATTGACGTTATTGATTTTTTATTACCTATTTATGGCCATGTTCCAAAATTTTAACAAAACATTTTTTAGACACAGGGCTATTGTGAAAAGATTAAGAATTTTTAAAATATTATTCTATAACTTCAGAACATAAAATTGACCTGTAGAAGCTATAAAATAATAAAAAAAGAAGTTTGGCTACGAATGGGTTAAATTAACCCAAAATAGAGAAAAGACGCGAGTTCTGGGTGCACAGTGTCAAAATTAGAAAACGTGAGGACAGATCGCTAGTTAATTGTGTGCGGTATTGCAACATTATGATATAAATTTGGCAAATGTGTGTAAACTACAATTTGTAGATTATGAAATGCAAGAAGTTGTAACTATATTCCATTTTAAAATTAAAAAAGGGTTTGTCCGAAATGGTGAATAGTTACGAATTAAACCTTGAGCTAAGATTAATACTATTAAAAGAATTAATATTAAACTCAACGGTCTTCCGGGTTGAACCGCTGTGATTATCATTGCATTATCATCGAAATATATACAGGGTGGTCCTTAAGTAATTGTACAAAAAGAAAGACTATATTCTACACTTTAAAATTTTACGTTTTAAGCCAATTTGCTTTAATAAAATATTGATATTAACCCGGCGCCAGTGTGGTAGACTAAAATGTAAAAACCTGTGTTTAAAAAATAACACATTTTTAGAAAATTTATATTGTGATTTATATTTCAACATATAATAAACTTAAATCAAAAGGAAGTATTGATTAGAAACAAATTGCAAACTAAATACATACTTGAATATTCTGGTGTACATTCTGGTGTCACTCATACGCTGGTGTACGTGAGTTCGAATCCTAATATGAATTTCCCATTTTTATTTTTGAAATATTTAAAAACCTCACTTTAATGTTATTAGTTATATGTAATATACGCAAAAATGCTTAATTTTAAAATAAAATGTAAATTTACAACATAATCCGAGTTGTTGGTTTTTTATTTTTATCTTCGTTAAGTGAGTTATGTATATTGGCAGTTTTAAATACTTATGAATATTGCATTTTAATTTGTATTGTATTTTTATATTTAATTATGTTGCAGTGTATTGTATGGTAATTTTTATATTAATAACAAGATAAACAATAAATTTTTCTGCAGAGTATGTGTAAAAAAATTTTGTAAAATGTGTATACAAATTTATACATACAGTAGAACCCCTCTCGTCCGCCCTCGGATAGTCCGACGCTCCGACCTGCTTGGCTTCGCGGAAATCCCCGGCGGTCGATTTGTTTACGACGAAAATTTCTCCGAAAATCACAATCCATTCTGTCAGTCTTATTTCGAACTTTGTGAGTTAAAGTGTGTACATTATTTTCAACATGTCAGGAGCAAAACGTAAACACGTTACGCGTTCGTTAAGTGAAAAACTTGCAGTGCTTCAAAGGCTGGACAAAGGTGAATCACTACAAAAAATTGCCAAGAAACTGAATGTAGGCGTTACGACTATTAAGGATTGGAGAAAAAATCGAAAAGAAATTGAATCACATACAATGACGATAGTAGATGGAGAAAACGCTCTTAAACACTGTAAAAGAAAATGAACTGTTACCTTACCAAGTCTATAACATAGACGAGACAGGCCTAAACTATAAAATGCTTCCAAACAAAACCTTAAGTGCGTCAAATGAAACCGTAGTGGGAACGAAACTCATGAAAGATAGGATAACTGTTGCTCCTTGTAGCAATGCTGATGGAACACACAAGCTTTCGCTGTTTGTCATAGGCAAATCTAAGAAGCCCAGGGCTTTCAAAAACATAAACTTATCATCCGTGCCGGTTTATTATCGCAACCAAAAATCTGCTTGGATAGACTGCAATCTTTTCAAATCTTGGTTTTTTGACGAGTTTGTGCCATGTGTTGAGAAGGACTTGACGAAAAAAAAATCTTCCTGTTCGAGCTCTACTGCTATTAGACAACGCACCATCGCACCCTTCTGAGGAAGATTTAGTAAAAGGGGATATAAAAGCTATCTTCCTCCCACCAAATGTCACATCACTTATCCAGCCTATGGACCAGGGCGTGATAGAATGTTTTAAAAGGCGTTATCGCCGAAAATACATAAGCTCGATTTTAGAAAAATCCGAAGAAGGATGTGATATTTTCCAAGCCATGAAATCACTCAACATTAAAGATGCTATCTATACAATGGCTGAGTCTTGGGCAGAACTAAATCCTGACACGCTAAGAAAATCTTGGCGTAAGCTTTGGCCAGAAGTTATGATCGAAATTGACCAGGTCGAAGATGAGCAAAACGACGTACAGGAAATCGTTACCAATCTTCAGACCCTGGATGCAAATATACCTGCTAGTGAAGTTGAGGAGTGAATTGAACAATGTGACAAAAACTGCGAAACCAGTGAAGTGCTGAACGATAACGAAATTGTTGCCGCTGTTATGGAACGTGACGGTGACGGAATCGTGAACTCAGAATCCGACAGTGATGATGATGACGAGCCTCCTGTCCGGATTTCACACACCGATGCCAAGAATGCTTTTGAAATTGGCCTTCAGTACATTGAGCAGAACTCAGCATCAACACCGATGGACATCGTGTGGATGAAAAAATGAAGGAACATTGCAGCTAAATCCAGAATTTCATCTTGTAAACAAAAATCTATTACTGATTTTTTTACTAAGTAGGCCTACATAGGTAAGCACTAATTTTTATGCTACCTTTTTTGACATTATATATTTACATACATATTTAATAAATAATGTACAAACAAAAGCTTTCTTGTATTTTATTGAAATATAATTATTTATTATATCACTGTAGAGAATAATACAGTCGTTTTTTAAAAACACATACATACGTCATACACAATCACTTTTTCTGATAATCCGACCTTTCTTGCGTTCCGACTATACTGCTAGTCCCGAGGGTGACGGATTAGAGGGGTTCTACTGTATATGAAAATAAAAATATATATTTTCATTAAAATATGTATAAAATCCTTCATTTACTATACTCCTATTACAGGTTAAATGTTTATATACAGCAAACCATGCACCACATACCTTTATACTTAATTCTTTTTCTCTTTCTGCTCTCTCTTACCCATAGCACAGAATAATAAACAATCAGAATGCCCACTCTCAGATGCCGCCTTTGAAGTTTTTCAGCACGCGCGCCATGTTAGAAGGAAACACATGACACAGACATATAATTTGTGAGGTTATGTAATTGTTTATATTTATGTTTAATTATATTATATTTATGTTATTATATTTAACAATGTTAATATAATTGTATAGTATGTCTATGATTGCCGTAAGTCAATTAAACCGGGTTAATTTTTCTATGCACACCACATAAAACAACAGTGGTTCCCTTTAAAACATGGAGGAACGTCTGCGCGAGCGAGATGCGCGTACCTAATTTTCCATGGAGAGTAGGCATTCTGATTGTTTATTATTCTGTGCCTATATCATTAAATATGTAATGATTGTGCAGATTAACTCCCATATAAATTTGTAACGGCGAACGCGTGTATAGAAGTATAATTTCTAACTGCAGTCTCTCTGGACTGCCACATCCGTTTTTTTTATTGGTAATTATCGGTTTCTTTTTAAATTTTAATATGCCAACGCCTCCCACGTAGAGTTACATAGAGGAGCGCCCCCCCCCCATAGGTTGATAAACGATGCATTAATCTTTAAACTGTAATATTTTTTTAGGTTCTAAAGTGACTCCAATACAACTTATGTGGGACCAATGTGAAGATGCTGTTAATAAAATGAAAGATTTTGTATTTGAGGAGAGTAATATTTCCTTATACAAAATCCTCAAACACATTTTTAATCAACGCCAACTTGCAGAGTACCTGAAAAAAACATCAATATTCCAATCCTTGTCGGATTGGATCTGTAATGATATATACTGCACAATATTTCCGCTGTATGAGAAGGTTATAGAGATAATTCCACATAACTTGAAGGCCGCAGAAGAAAGAAATTCTATATTAGATAAACTTATTTTGGTATCCAATGGAATTTTGCCTCAATTGCCTCCAGAAATAATCCTTGAAATTTGCAGTTACCTAAATAACTATGATTTAAGAAACTTTTTGCTATCGATCTGTAAAATCAGTTAATAAAATTGATTATAATGTATTTTTTATTCAAACGTAAAATAATGATGACAATACTTATCTAACTTGATCCTGTCAAAGTTTGATGTCTCCGCCGGCAGCAGTTTTTTTTTCCCATTTCTTTACGGCGGAGGGAAAAATGTTGTCATGGCAACAATATGAAATATGTCACAAAGCAACAATACAAATGTCATTAACAACAATTAAAAATCATTTTTATTTATAGTAATATTAAAAGTACAATTAGTTAATGAGGCATTTTCAAAATTAAAACCGTGCAAAAATGTTCCCGACTCTTGATACGCATTGGTAATTCTTGATGATACTGATGGTCGAGAACAACTTTCAGCAATCATTCCCGATGTTGGCGTATCATGCGATGAGGGTTTAAAATTTTTGAGCATTATCGTTCTTATTTCTTATTGAATCCTCTATATATCCTTCGGCAACCGTGCTTGATTTCCAGTGCCCATGTCATTTAAGGCATTCTAGATTTCCGCCTCCATCAATTAAAAGTGTTGCTGAAGTTCGTCGTAAAGAGTGACCCGTGTATGCGCTTGCATCGTTTAAATTTAAATAACTAGCTACTTTTTGGGCTACTCCGCTGATCGAATGTATTTCCACGACGCCTCGGTAACACTTTCCATTTTGGTACTTGATAAAAAGTCGGTTTTCTGTGAAATTTTTAGGCCGCAGTGATGCATACTTTTTATACAGTTTAATGTAGTTTTTAGTTTAATTATCGTAAAAGATCTAATTTGTCGTGTTTTACTGTCTTGGATTTTTATCATTTCGTCGCATCGACAGGCGTCGGTAACCCCAATTAACAATACAATCTAAAATATTTTTATAATGTAGTAGAGTATCCTACATGCTTTGCAATGTAATTTTTTTTACCTTAAATTCTAAATATAGCTTATCTGGCGCTTCAAACAAAAATTTATCAAACTCGTCTTTAGTGAAAACTTTAGACTTCTTTGCAGTATATCCTTCGCTTGTTTTTTTCAGAAAGGCACGTAACTTTAAAAATTTGCTTATATCCACATTTTTTCTAATAATTAACTCGGATTTTATTATAGAGTATCGTGACCACATTGTAGAAGTTTTCATTTATTTTCATTTTCCATTATATTAAAATATGCCAGTAAAACGTCTTCGGTAACTTGCCGTACTCCTCTTGTATCGCACCATTCTTGGAAGTGCTTGTACGCTAACCGATACTTTATTCCGGACTTGTAGGGCCCCAAACGTGCTTCTGCATCATTAGCCGCGGACTCAATTTCGTTTAGGTTTTCCATTTTAGCACTAAATTTGCGCTTGCGGTTGCAACAACAATAAGCTGTCTATAAGCTATAAACATGGATTTTTATTCAAAATTCGAAGGCAAAGTCTTGTCTGCACAAACGAGGTAGGTAACAGTAAATGTAATTATTTTTATGCAGAGAGAAGCGATGCAAACCCGCATGTTAAAGATTTTAAAAAAGTTCAAGAGCGTTCTTCCTTAGCAATGGGAGAAAGTATAGCCACTATAAAACGGAGCTTTCGTGAAATGGAAAATATAGAAGAAGGTGCTTCTACATTATTTTCAGCGTGTAACAAAACAATGAGATCTGCCCCAAAATCCAACTTGGGCGATTTTGACAAAGGTTTACTTAGGCGTATAATAATAAATTAATATGTCACGGAAAAACGAGTTCTTACAATCTGTCATTGTAAATATAGTAATAATTTAATTTTTATTTTTATAAAGGAAAATAATCGTAGAAAAAGTATAGTACACAACTTGAGTTGTAAGCTTATTACATGCTTGTAAAATTACTGCGCTCGCCACTACGCGGCTCGCGCGCAACTTTTTTACTCGCATGTAATAAGCTTCTTACAACTCTCGTTATGTAGTATACTATTATAAAACTGAAGCGTAATTTTTTTTATTACGTGCTAGTCATTACGTGTCAGTATCTGTTATGATCATCGAGCAATAAGACAAAAGAGGGAATCTAATCGTTATAAAAAGGAGACCAAAAAAGTGGCCTCTGATGGCGGACACATCCGGAAATGCAAAGGCGCTAAATTTAAATTTTCCAACATTTGTTAACAATAGCTATAAAATATTTTTCAGACTAGAAAGTTTTAATTAAATATTAACGATAATAGTCTAAAAAGTGACATAATTGGTAAAAAACTTCAATATAAATAAAATTTCATGTGACAGTTGGGACAAACAATAACATAACCAAACTAAATTTGACTTCTTAAACAAGGAAAGAGACTGTCTATCCTTGTCTAAAGTGGCCTCTCAAGATGGCACTTCCTGTCTATCAATATGTTTACCCCTTCTACCTTTACATTCCCTCTTTTGTCTTATTGCTCGATGGTTATGATGCATTTACTTAGCATCCAAATAGTAAGTAATATACAACTTACTAGTAAGAGAGTAGAAAAAGAATATTTGTTAGCGTTAAGTGATCGAATATTCCACTGAATAATTTTAATACCTTTGGTAGCCATGAATTTTAAGTAAAATTGTTATTAACAACTCTTCAATTTTGTTCTTAAATTCAATGTCATTAACTTTAAGATTAGCACCACAATCACATTCTTGTCATATTTAAATTTCAGCTCAACAACAGATCTAAACACACTTTTTACTACAACATCCCTCATTATTAAATCTTATAGGACCCATCTTCCTACATGTGTTTTTTTACCATTTTCTAGGTACCAAATATTACACAACACACAGGGCCTTTTGATAAAATTTTTTTAATTTAGAACAAATAAATCCATACACATGTATAGTTGGTTGCCTATTGATCCTACAAAATTTGATAAACTCCAGTTTACCCACATTAATTTTTAAAAAACCAATTTTTTCAATGTTTCCAATATAGCCATATAATTAATTCACATTACATTGATGGTTGATACTGTTACATTATTATAATTTTAATTTTTCAATTTTAAATGATGCTGACATCTGTCATTTTTAGACAACTACCGTAAGTTACACTGACTGCTCTGACACAACATCCGTTCTAACATGTCAACAATGTCATTTTGATCAGTTGTTAGCAACAGGTCCTCGAAGACACTTCGTCTCAGGACCATTTTACCTATGTAGGGTCATACGTCGCCATGTTACCAATTCCAACGGTAACTTAAACATCATAATTTGTAACCACATATAATGTAAAGCAACTGTAAATTAATATCATTTAAAGGGTTTTGACCCATATATTTTGGTGGCTCATAGCATGTATACCTCGTAAGTATTAACCACAATGTTCTTTAACCTTAGTCAACATTTTAAATTCTACTTTCTTTTTAATTAAAGTGGTTATTTACTTTCAGGTTTACACTGATGATGGATTTAACAATCCGAAAACGTTTTGTAACATATTTGTGATAGCCCGTTTGGTGATTTTATTATATACCTTTTATAAAGGATTTGAGATAAATTTTTTAAGATTAGAAGCCATATTTGGAGAAGCATTAACAAAATCTTGAAAGCTTTGTTAATAAGATTTTTAAGAGTAACACTGAGCTTAGTAATAAATTTACTAAATTCATCTACACGTTCAGGTTGTCCGAATTGGATTACGAGACCAGCACAGAAACTACTCTGAACCTTTCTACGAATAGGAGGGAAATAAATAGTCATCATCATCATTCAGCCCATACTCGTCCACTGCTGAACATAGGCCTCCCGTAGTTCACCCCACAAATTTCTGTCCTGAGCCGCCTGCATCCAATTTTGATGTGTCCGTTTCAGGTCATCCATCTGCCATCCTTCGTTCTCGCGACGTGCCCTGCCCAGTTCCAATAAATAGTAGTGTCGCTATTTTTTCTTTTTTTTTTTTGGAGGGCTAACTACCGGAGTTGTATGACGTTTGGGAATATTATTATTTTTATGTACTGTACCAGAATTGAGCTGACGAGTAGAATCAGATTTTAGTGAAGGAAATTCTGTATCAGAGTTGATTAACGGTGCAAATCTATAATTTTGAACTAGTCTGGAATAACCTGGATTATCATTTATTTTCTGAATTTCTTTAAAGAAATGTTCAAATTAGCCATAGTTTCTTTCGTTTTTCTCTACTTAAGATATTCAGGACATTCTCTGAACCTTGACTCGTGACCACTATTTTGACAATGCACGCAAAAAGTATTACATTTATTAGGACAATATTTATTTTCTTCCTTCCCACATTTTGTGATAACGCAAACACTGGCAACATTGCATGATCGGACTGACAAATACCTCGACCGGGAATCTAACTTTATTAAAGTAGATAAATTGGGGAATTAATTTGCCTGCAAAGTATCAATAATTATCTGTCTTGGGTCTCTCTCCGATATACCGTCGTTTTGTATTAATCTAGTCATTCTTTGGACTTTCTTAACCATTAAACATTCGATTTATAATATTTATTTTCACTTATGGTAGTGTCAACAGCATGAACTAAACCTCTTTTTTTGTCAAATCATCATCATCATCATCAACTAGCCTCTAACGTCCACTGCTGAACATAGGCCTCTCGCATGCTTTTCCACTTAGTCCGATTTTGCGCCATCTGAATCCAATTTGTAGTCACTCTTTTTATGTCATCTGTCCATCTCGTTGGAGGTCGACCTCTATTTCTGTAAGCTTGTATCCGGGGTCTCCATTTTAAAATTCTTTTTGTCCACCGGTCATCAACTGATCTTGCTACATGACCTGCCCAGTTCCACTTTAGTGTTGTTATCCTTTCAATAACGTCTGCTACTTCTGATCTTTTGCGTATAGTAGCATTGGGTATTCTATCACGTAGAGAAATCCCTAACATAATTCTCTCCATTGCTCTTTCCGCAACTTGTAGTTTACTCACTGTTGTTCTTGTGAGCGTTAGGGTTTCTGCGCCGTAGGTCATCACTGGCAAAATACCTTGATTAAATACTTTTCTTTTCAGACACATTGGAATCTTAGACCTAAAATTATCCTTCATCCTTCCAAATGCAGCCCAAGCGAGGTTTATTCTTCTTTTCAGCTCGATTGTTTGGTTGTCTCGACTTATTCTGATCTCATGGCCTAAGTATTTATAGGAGTCAAGTGGCTCAATATCTTTGTCTTCTACTGAGATGTTTTTGTTGTGGACTAAATTTGTCATAAATTGTGTTTTTGAAAAATTTATCTTAAGACCAACTCTTTTTGTGGCAGTATGGAGTTCTTGGAGCATTATCTGTGCCTGATCAAAGCTGTCTGCAATAAGAACAATATCATCTGCAAATTTAAGGTTATTTAAAAATTTTCCATCTACATTGATGCCCTTTTTGTTCCAATCTATTGTTTTACAAGCGTATTCTAGCAAAATAATTTTGTCGAATAATTAGGTATAAATGCGATTAAATTATTTTTTTTAAAGATTCTTCTACCAGCTTATTTGCAACCAGTCCCGAATCTACTTCGATTTTAATTCTATTCTTGCCAATACTAACACTTTCAGTTATATTTTTATCGTAATCCGCGAGAGAACTTAATTTTTCTCCTATTTTCATAGGATGAAGACGACCTAAATTCAAATCAGTATGTTAAACAAAAATAAAATACGGCCCCGTATCAGTATCGCTGAATCTATTTAAAGTATTTAAAACCTAACTTTATTGTTTATATTGTTGAGTTGTAGACGGCAAATTTTTATTGCCATCATTAACAATAGATTTAATGTTCGAATTATTAATAATAGAATCATCGGAATTCTAAACATTTGTAGGATTATTACAATTATTAACCTCAGCACGAACAATATCTTCGACGTGAATATTACTTAACATGTCGCTATTCCCCCTGTATCCTGTAGGGGTGGGTCTTTGCCACACACACAATTCTTACCCTGGGACATCCCAGGTTTAAGTATCTATCAAAAAAATATAGGAAATATTAATACTTACACTTACTTACAGTTACTTTACAGTACAATTGCCAAACTAATAACTTAAAATTAACATAAACCTGGTTAAAACCTAAAATTCGATTGAATACGAGACACAATCACACTGTGTTCGTAGTTCTCTGATCACACACCGATCCTCACTATACGAAGGTTCAAACGAAACTGTAAATTATTATTGTGTTTCTTTTTGTTAGTTGCAATAAGTGTAAAAGACTATATTATATTAAATAGTGTAAACAAATAAATAAATAAACAAAATAAAGTGTTGGCACATTTTAATAATAAATTAAAAGATTGAAAATTAAGATTGTAAAGTAAAATCTTACACTAGTTTGGGAACAATATAAAATTAACGATGCCTTATGAACTATCAAAGGTGAGTTCTGCGGATACTGTGGTCGTAACGGGAAACTGAGAATAAATAACAGGGTTAAATTCCGAAAATGGAGCTTGAGAAACGGCACCACATCCAAGGAAGGCAGCAGGAGTGCAATTTACTCACTCCCGGCAGAGGGACGTAGTAACGAAAAATAACGATACAGGACTCATCAGATGCCTCGTAATCGGAATGATTACAATTGGAGGCTAAGTCTGGTGCGAGAAGCCGCGATAATTCCAGATCCAATACCGTTATATTAAAGTTGTTGCGGTTAAAAAGTTCGTAGTCGAATCCGTGTCCCATGCCGCCGTGCCGTACCCACTCTTTTGTAGATTTAAATAAAATTAAATTCAAAAAATTTACAAATAATATTGATTTATGTTATATGTATTAGGATTTATTAGCTTTATCTCATTGGTTTAGAGTTTAGGTTGGCGCTTTTTCCAAGTGTTTGGGTTGGCGCCTTTTTATGAGCCAGTCCGGCACTGTCTAGAAGTCATTCTTCATTTCTTTGACCTATGTCAAATGCTTGGCGAATGTACGTATTAGATTTAAACGAATGTAAAATAATGGACTTACTGAAATTTTGAATGCAAGTGGCTGATGGCCAAATTAACAAACAAGAACGTTAAAAAAGAATAGACACTGATGAAGATGGGAATACGTGCGCTAATACGATTAAATTCCGTATGACTAATCAACCTTCCGTGGCCAAAAGTTATAATGGATATGACCATCTTTCTTCATTCGATGAAATAAGCAGCTCAAGAGCATGCTGGATTGAATGTTGTAAAAGTCATCATCATCATCACACAGCCAAATTTGTCCACTGTCGAACATAGGCCTCCTCAAGATGTCTCCACTCTTCTCTGTCCTGTGCAGCTGCGATCCAGTTTGTCACTATTCTTTTAATGTCGTCCGTCCATCTGGTAGGTGGTATTCCACGATTTCGCTTGTCTGCCCTTGGCCGCCATTCTAAAATATTCTTTTTCCATCTGTTCATTGTTTGTCTCTCTATCTTGCGACGTGTCCTGACCATTTCCACTTCAACTTCGTAATCCGTTTTATGACGTCTTCCACTCCAGTTCTTCGCCGTATCTCATCATTTCGTATTCGGTCTCTCAAAGTTACGCCAAGCATAGATCTTTCCATTTTTCGTTGTACTACTTCTAACTTTTTTATTGATGCTTTAGTCAATGTCAGTGTTTCAGCTCCATAAGTGCAGAAGATGCACCGGAAGTACGCACTGGTTAAATGCTTTTCTCTTTAGCTTTATTGGGATGTTTTCCTTAAACACGTCTTTTAGCTTGCCATAGGCTGCCCATCCTAAAGCTATTCTTCTAGATAATTCGCATGTTTGGTTGTCTCTACTTATTTGTATTTCGTGGCCCAGATATATGTATTTGTCAACCGTTTCAATATGCCAGTTTGTCTAGTTTCAATGGTCCACTAGGTACTAAGTTGGTCATAATTTTAGTTTTCGCAAAGTTTATTTCCAGCCCTACTTTTTGGGAGACTCGTTGTAAATCTTGTAGCATTTCGTTGGCCTCCTTTAGGTCGTCGGTTATTAGAACTATGTCATCTGCAAATCGTAGGTGGTTCAGCCTTTCGCCATCGACACTCAAACCTCTGTTTTCCCATTCTAACATCTGGAATGCATGCTGCATTACGGCATTGAATAGTTTTGGTGACATGTTGTCTCCTTGTCTAACTCTCCTTTTTAGTTTTATTTTTTGAGTAGGGGTGTGGAGGTTTATTGCTGTTGTGGCATTTGCATATATATGTTGAATATTGCTGGTATATCGGTAGTCGATTCTACAATCTCTCAAAGCTCTTAAGATAGCTACCATCTCGATAGTGTCAAAGGCTTTTTTATAGTCAAAGAATACTAGAACTAGTGGCCGGTTGTACTCTTAGTTTTTTCAATTAAGGCCTTTAGACAAGTTAGATGGTCATTTGTACCATACCCAGGGCGGAAACCTGCCTGTTCTCTTGGTTGGCATGTTTCTAGTTTGTTCTCAATTCTGGCAGTGATAATTCGAGCAAATAATTTATACAGGTGACTTAGAAGACTGATTGGCCTATAGTTTTCGAGGTCTGTTTGATCTCCTTTCTTATGCATGAGGAGCGTTATAGAATTATTCCATTCAGCTGGTATTGCTTGGTTTTCTAAGCATATATTGAAGAGCTTCTTGATTGTCCTGATGAGGCCCACTACTCCATCTTCTCCTGGTGCTTTGTTTTTTTTTTTTCATTTTCTTTAGAGCGTGGTAAATTTCAGCCGTTGATATGTCGGGAATATCTTCTGAACCTTGATTCATAATTTTTTGTTCTGTATGTTCTGTCGGGTTTAAGTCCAATTTATTTGTGTATAGTGTTTTATAGAAGTCTTCTACTATCTCTAGCATTTCGTCTCTGTTGGACGTTAGTTTGCCATTCTTTCCCTTAAGTCTGATGATTTCTTTTCTGCTGTTCGTCAATTTCCTTCTTAATATCTTCATGCTCTTGTTGTGCTCGATTGTCTGCGAGATTTTCTATTTTTATATGCCCTTATGTCCTTTCTAATTGCTTTTGAGACCTCTTTATTGATTTTATTTATGCTTTGTTGTTATATACTCTTATCTTTTAGAATTTCTCTTCTTTCTTCCATTTTAAGTTTGGTGTTAGCAGTGATTCTCTCCTCTCTCTTGTTACCTGTACAACATTTTCTTTGAGCTTCTGTTATGGTATTAGTAATTACTTTATTTAGCTGATTTATATCATTTGTGGGGGGCCTGTTTTGTAGACGTACCGTTATTTGATCTGCAAACTCTGTTTCATTTTTTGGTTGTGACCATGCTTTCAATTTTTTCTTTCTTATTAGTTTATTTCTCTCTTTATCGATTTTAATTTCTATTCTAGCGCGAACCATTCTGTGATCACTTCCTGTTGTGAAGCTGTTGAGTACCAGTGACATCTTTAATTATAAATTTTTTATCTGTTATTATATAGTCAATTTCATTTCGCGTTCTCCCGTCTGGGCTTCTCCATGTCCACCTTCGTTGTAAAAGTAGATCATAGATATTATGTACTAAATGTGGGGTTTATCTTTGTCTAGGAAACAAAACTGTTTTTATACGATGTACTATTTTAAGTTAAATTATTGTTTTAGCTCCTACTATTATTATTAATTATTAAAAAAATGTTTCTACAAAAACTATTTTCGTATGTGTATTATTTTAGACTGAAAGTCTAACACCGTCACGATTATTCACTAAAGTAATTTAAGCCTGAACGTCACGATGGTGCAGTGTCCCTCACCGCAAAGGGGGACAAGAGAGTTTTTTAAATTTTCGTTGAGTACCATATACAGTAATAAAAGATCTAAAGTAGTCAAAGATTCTGATTTGAAAAAATAATAAATCGGACCTGTGAGGTCCATATTCATTAAAAACATTCACGGCGCATTTGTGTGTAAAAGGAACTAAAGTATATATTTCTCCTAACTCGACGTGAATAGAATAACATTATGAGACGTATATATCGATTGGCCAGTTTCTAATTTTAGCATGTAGTCGAGTATACAAAAACTGCGTTAAGTGCTTCGTTTTTTTAATTAAAAAAAAGTTTGTAGTTGCCGTTTGTTATAGTGTCCTATGGTTATAAAAGTCAGGTAAACGACATAATGTTTTGCTTTTAGGGGTAGTATCTTTGGTTCTTGTCGGTTTTTGGTAAAATATCTATTTAAATTCATAACAGTATCGTAACATATTTATCACAACTAAATATTTGTTGACAATTGGTTTGTTATTGTATATTATTAATATTTTTACATACATACATTTACATCAGATAATTTTCTTATAAGTATAATTTTACGTATAATGTTTAAGACATTACTTGTTGATCCGGTAATACTGTTATACCGTTTTTAAATAAAGTAAATCAATTATATACCCGTTGATAAGTGGGGTGTGGCCTAGTCGAAATCGAGTAACAATGATTTGATGAGCTCTGCTTAAAATTTGATATTTCCACGGTTTTACAGATGTATTCACATATGCGGAATATTGATTAAAACTGTCCCACTGATTTTGTCATAAATGTTTGACTAGTTTAATAAATAATTTTAAATGATTTAGCACTACGTGTGAAAGTTGTACACTTGGCTGCTGTTTGTTGAACCTTTCTTTGTTTTCGTTCTTATTGTTACCTCCATCAGTAGCAACAATTATATACTTTCCTCAGATTAATTATAGTAGCTCCTCTCCTTCTAATAAATAACGGAATAAGTCTATCTCTATAGCAGTACCTAAATTGCATATTTTTATAAGCTCTTCATAAACATTAAATTATTAATTAGCATCGCTTACAAATAAGAGGAATTGTGCTGTTGTATCTGACAGAACCGTATTTTTGTCCATTTCTAGCCCTCTATTGCATAAAGGACCCAAATGGCAACTCAAAATATAAAATTTCTATGAGTATTTGCTATAATCAGCAATTTAAACCGCGTACACATCTTTCCTCTTGGGAACATTCGTTCTTAGATGTGTATTGTGTGATGCTGATATTCCCATTGGTTGTTTGAATAAATAGCAGTTTCGTTTAAAGTGAGTTTAAATACTTTTCGAATATTAGCTAAAAGTAAGGTAAGTTTGAAAAATAAAAGTTATATATGCGTTTATAAGTGTTGTAAGGATCTACTGGTATTTTGAAATAATAAATTTATTTTGTTAGTTTTTGACCAAATTGTTACTGTTCCCGTAGAGGAACATTGTACGCTCAAAGTGAATTTTGACACTGAAAAAAGAAAATACTTTATACTTTTTTTTGCAAGTTGGTAGACTTCATTAATACATTATTCGTTTAAATAAGTTAATTTGAATAAATCTGAAATAATCTTTCTTTTCAGAAAAAAAAAATGGATGAATTTGAGTATTCCGACAACATCGTTTTACAACAATAAAGCAAAAATTATTTAGCCCTATAAGTTACTACAGATTTCTTCTGAATGTCAAGATTCAGAGCTATCTAATAAAAATAACGTTGAGCCGTTAGCTGCACAGAACACCAAGGCTAAAGTAATCATTGACAGACAAGAAGATTCTGATAATGAAGATAATGATTTATCAACCGATGAATCGGATACTGAACTATCTACGAAACAAAAATGTATCAAAAAATGCCATATAACATGGCGTACCTACTTCAAAAACTGTGCAAAATGTAGACGAACTGCATTTTGAAGATAGTGAATTACTTCCAACCAACATATTGCAGCTCAATTCTCCTTACAAATTGTTTAGTTTTTTTTGACACAGATTTTATAATTGAGGTAGTTCGACAAACTTGTATATACAGCGCTCAAACAAATCCACAAAAGCCATTTACCACATGTGCTGTAAAAATTGAAAATTTTATGGGGTAGCATTGCTGTGGATGCCTCTAATAAGACAACCTACTACAAGACGCTATTTGAATCGAACAATAAGAATTTCACAAGTAGCAGACGTAATGCCTATCAATCGTTTTGAAACGATCATAAGGTTTCTTCATTTTAGTAATAATTTAGAAAATACACATTGTCTTGATAAAATCTCACCCTTGATTGAATAAATAAAAAGATCGAGTTTGTAGATACTTTTAGAAAAACACTTATCTTGTGACGAACAAGTTTTATCGTTCAAAGAACGTTCGAGTATGAAGACATACAATCTCAAAAAGCTTCATAAATGGGGATGCAAGATGTGGGTTCTCTCAGAAATATCAGAATTTTCATATAATTTTAAAATTTTGACTGGAAAAGATTGTTATACAGAATTATAGAATGAAGTAAATTTGGGAGCTGCTATAGTAATGTTGTAGTTCGAATAAGCAGACAAATACCGTCCAATAAACACCAAAATCTTTTACGATAATTATTTTTCAAGTATACCACAGGTGTCATATTTGCCAAAACGAGGTATATATTTTATCGCAACTATGCGTACAAATCGAATTCTGAATTATAAAATTTGGCAAAAAAAAAGAAATTAAAAAATTACAAAAGGAAAGCATTTAGGAACACTCTGGTACTTATGACAATACTGCACTATATACAGTCCATGATGTGACAACAAAATTGTGACTTTACTGTCAGATTATTGTGTAACTGAACCAATAGCCAAAGTGAACAGATTCTTTCACACCGAAAGGACTAGGAAAGAAATTGATTGCCCAGACATTGCACAACAATATAACACGCACATATGCGGTGTGGATCTGCAATATTGTTTATTGGGATTATATCCAATCAAAATCAAAAGCAAAAAATGGTACTACCTTATTTTCTATCATATGCTGGACGTAGCAGTAGTAAATGCTTGGCTATTAGGCAGGCGAATCAACAGACAAATTAAAACAACTGATATGATTATACCACTGCTAAATTTCGAAACAATTCTAGCTGAACAACTAAATAACAGTGGTCTTTTACAAAGAAGAAAAGTAGATCGGCCTAGAAGTTCCACACCCAAACAACCATCCAAAAGAAGATGCATTGAACCTAGACCCAATATATATGTACACACAGATCAGTTTTTACACTGGCCAAACTAGACTGTTAACAAGGAAAGATGTAAGATGTTAAAACTGTAAGAAAAAATGAAGGGTTCAATGCGAGAAATGTAAGGTGCATTTATGCTTTCATTCTAAAAGCAGTAACTGTTTTAAGAAGTTTTACAATTTGGAATAGTTTGATACTGACAATACATGTATCTTATGTGTATGACAATTGGTCCTAATAAATGTTTTTATACATACCTAGTAATCCCAAATGGGCACAATTTCTTTTTTTTCTCAAAAACCGGATCATAAAAAAAGCGTGTAACGGTGAATCTACATACATCTATTAAGAGTAATTTAATATAATTTTATTTTATTTTGTCAAAAAATAATAATAAATTCATTCACAAGGAGGGCTAGAGAGAAACGATCAAAAGACTGTGCTTTATCCTTGAGCTGTTTATAAAGGTTTCCACCCCACTCTTTGAAGCGTCAGATGCAAGTTTTAGAAAAGAGATTGAGACTTTCTCTCCGACAGATTTTTTTTTTGTCCGGATACATTTCTTTGGCGATTGTTAAGACACATTATTTAACAAATTCACTGTCGGCGAATGAACCCACTTTTGCAGGTATTTCTGTTACCTTTAAGCTGGTACGTCTGATCCTATATTAAAATTATTGTTATTCTACGTTTATGCCACAAACTTAAGAACCTTTTTTGATTTTTGTGAGGATTTCAAACTAAAAATTTTATTTGTTCGTAAATCTTTATGAGAGTCAAATTTAACTTAATATGTAATAAATTAATGCTTACTATTGTAATGCCGCTTTATGCTATTTTTTAACGATAGAAATACTCTTGACAAAATAAATATGCCTAACGGATTCGAATTTCAAATCAATGTGACTTCATGTGAAACGACTTTTAGTAGCGCAGGCCGCAACGCAGTAGCTTACGGATTACGGACTGCATCCGGTTCGCGAACTGCTTGTTGTCGACTCCACAACTAAGCAATGACCAAGTGTAAATAATGAATTCTACTTGAGTTGATTTAAATAACTAATCTTTAACTCGAGTTTAGCCAACTTTATCCTAACAAAATTTCTAGCTAGGTAGGTCTGAACCTACCTGTATATGTAGTGAAAATATTTTATTTTTATTTTATTTTTAGAATAACAGTTATTAGCAAGTGATTAAAAACAAATTTTAAATACATGGAGGAAAAAATACCAGATCGACCACATTTTAAACTCATTTACCAAAGATACTATCAACTAAAACTACGAAAAAAGTTCGGAAAAATAGATCTTAATTCTAGGTAAGTAATTATATTTTATTTACAATAGGTTATAAGAAAGTCGAATTTTAATAGTTATCATGCAAGCTTGTCCAACATGCTTGTTCTTTTTGTACAAGTACGCATGAGTGTCTGTAGGGAAATGTGGTGCAAGCTTTGTGATTGTACAAGCAGTTTGAGGATTGAAAGACTAGATAGCTCAGTCTGGTTAAAAAAAAAGATGGAAAAATGTTTCGCAGATATCTGAAGCTTGCAAGACATAGGTAAGGGTTACTAGATGACGAATAGATGAAAAGATACTCCTAATTTTTCCCTGCGTTTTTTTTTTAATAATTTATGGCCAAAATTTGATTTTTGTCTATGTTTTTTCCCTTATATTTAAAATAAACAATATTTTTTATTTCAAGGATATCGTCATTTTCCCGTTTTTTTGAATTAAAATTGATAAATAATTTACGGAGATATTTGCAAAAAAGCAGTTTTTTTGCAATAATTTATAAAGTTTATTAATTTTTTTATTAATGAAATAAAATGTTATTAGTACATTAAAACATCGAGTAATTACCGTCCTTTAAATTTATGCGAAATTTCCCCCCGATCGGTCAAACAGTTTAACCCTATACTGCGCAATGTAGCAGATCTGCTACAACCTATTTAAATAATCGATTCCTTAAATTGTGTGTTTTTAAAGCCGTCGCTGCGCTTCGTATTAAATCTGATACGTCCTTACGTACTAGGAAATAAAGCTGCATACCTCGCAATCGTTTTAGTTCGCGCGTGAATTTTGTTAGTTTTCCGGCAAGTGCCTATTCGCATTGAGCACGCATTTTAGCTTCTCAGATTTTTTTTGTTTTATTCGTTTTTTCGTAATTCTTTTATTTTGGCTGTATGAACTTTGTTTAGAAGGTAAGTAATATAAATATAGATCGAGCTAATTTATACTTTTATGAGTAATTTCTTTATAATTCGCCTCTTTTTACGGTTGTATCAGATCTGATACATTGCGTTTTGTTACAGGGTCATTATGTATGGTAAAAGACCTTTGACAGAGCGTGAATTAGAGGAGTTGGCAGCAAATTTTTGGAACAGTGATGACCAATTGGACAATAGTGATTCTGAAGAATGTTTTAGAGATGAGACAAACTTAGATCCTGACGAGAATATTGATATTCAAAGCTTACCTGTAGAGTTTGAAGATGAGGTTACTGTCACAGAGTTTCCAGACCAATCAATAGAACCTATTGAGGAGCCAACTATCGTCGATGTCGATGTGGAGGTTGAGCCAATCACTACTCGAATCAAAAATATATTGTGAAAGAAAAAAAACCTATCCATTGACGAACTGGCAAAGACTTTTAGAGGAGATACCAACCTTTCTAATGCTATAATGGATTTGTCAACACCATATGCTTTTTTCAAGTACTTTTTTGACAATGAGTTGATCGAAAAAATTGTAACAGAGTCCAATACATATGTTATTCAAAAGGATCCGAGTAAACCTGCTGGACTGACCACCACAGATATAAATCAATACCTAGGAATTTGCATCTATATGTCCCTAGTTCACATGCCTAATTGTCGTAGTTATTGGTCCAATTCCCTAGGCTATCAGCAAATAAAAAACGTAATGAGTGAGAAAAGATTCGAATTTATCAGAAAATGTATACATTTCAACGACAATACAAGTTTGGACCAAAATGATGTGGATCGAGATCGTCTTCATAAATTACGACCCCTTGTCGATCATTTGAATAACAAATTCCAAAGCATATCATTGGAACAAAAACTTTCAGTAGATGATCAGATGTGCGCCTCAAAAGGAAGGCACTATATGAAACAATACGCGCCTGCCAAACCCCACAAGTGGGGATACAAACTTTTCGTTTTATGCGGTGTTAGTGGATATTCCTACAATTTCGAAATATACACTGGTACAGAAAATGATTAAAGGAATCGTCGGGTAAATGAAACAGACCTAGGAGCAAGTGCCAATGTAGTTGTCAGATTATCTAGGATTATCCCGGAAAATCACAATTATGTTGTTTACTTTGACAACTATTATACGTCATTGCCTTTACTTCATTATCTTGCTACCAAAGGTATATATTTCCTAGGCACTGTTAGACGAAACCGTGTTCCAAACTGTAAGTTACCATCTAAAGATGAAGCAAAAAAAAATGGATCATGGGACTTCAGTTCAGTATGTGTGTGACTTTGAAGGCGTGGAGATATCGTCAGTGACCTGGAGAAACAACAAGACTGTTTGTTTGTTGTCAACATATGCTGGTGAATTGCCGAAAGGAAATGTTGAAAGGTTTGATAGAAAAAGAAAACAAAAAATCAACATTGAATGTCCTAAGTTGGTCCAGGAATATAACCAACATATGGGAGGGGTGGACCTTATGGATAGCCTGATTGGCCGCTACAAAATCAAAATTAAATCAAAAAAGTGGTATATGAGGCTATTCTATCATCTTCTTGATATGACGCTTGTAAATTCTTGGCTTCTTTACCGTCGATATTCCAGAGAAAAGGAGGCAGAGAAATGTATGAAACTTGCCGAGTTTCGGGCTGAAGTGGCATATTGCTTATGCAACGTTGGAAGTAATCGTTTGGTGAAGAGAGGAAGGCCATCAGATCTTGAAAAAGAAATAGCCGAAAAAAGAAAAGGTCAGCAACAACAACGTATATTCCTCCAAAAGACGTAAGGCTTGATGGTCACTCACACTGGCCATTGTACAAAGACACAAGACAGAGATGCAAGATGCCCAAGTGTACTTCTTTTTCGTATATTCAATGTTCAAAATGTGGACTATATCTTTGCCTGAACAAAAATAATAATTGTTTTCATAAATTCCATTCAACTTAGATATTTAGTTATTGTAACATATTATACTTATTAATAATGTAATAAAATTTGTTTTGTAAGCATTTCCGCTATGTATCATAATATATGATACAACAAGATTTGTTTCAAAAAATTAATGTTTTTTTGAAAGTTTTTTTTTACTATTTTTAGGCATAAGTTTATACCCTAATGCAGTTAAAAATATTTTTTTTATTACAATACAAAAAATCGCGCATTATAGGGTTAAAAGTTATTTAATTCCTGAGACTAGTCATTTAAACTATTGAGCTTGCCCTATGAATAACGCTAGACACATTTAGCAAATTTCATAGGATTATTTAAGACTTAAACTATCCCAGAAGTTAAATGCATATTGCATTTTCATTAAAATTATTTACAAAATAAACGTTTAAGAAAGGGGTATGCTTTTTACTTATAAACAATTGTAATAACTTCTATATTTTTCAAGATACAGACTTGTACGTACAACCATTAGGTAACTGGTAAAAAAAGCCACATTAAAAATTCAAAAACCTTCTATGACCAATACGAACGAAGTTAGCGACTATTTAAAAAAAAATCATATCTCCGTTGTTTATAAACATTAAGAAGTAAAATATGCACAAATTTAAAATGACTTTATATTGAAAATTATAGCTATAAAATTCATCCAATTTTTTGAAACTTACAGCCCATCGAAACGATGATACTTTCGAAAGATCGACATCGAAACTTTAAATTTTTTCGACATCGGAACTTTAAATTGAAACACGTAGGAAAAATTTAAATATTCACGACTTCCATTACAGCTGAAAGCCTATTTTGGGGTAGCTCATTGAAAGATAAATAAATACATAGCTTTCACTGACCGGAAAATATGGGAAACCTCGGAAAATTCACCATTTTCGGAGTCCATTTGAAATTCACCGTAAAAAGCTACTATTTTTTTTTAATTTGACTGGAATAGTCTGTCGCAGTATTAATAATGATGACATAATTTTTTACCCCCGTAAATCTCGGAAAATCCTGGAAAATCAACGTATATTCTTTTCATTGTATATCGATGATGTAATAATATTTAAATATTTTATAAATTAAATTTCAGGTAATTGTTTACACATCATATTATTATATTCCTTATATTAATTATAATTTTTTGTATTTTTATAATTAACAATATTGATTTCTATTCTATTTTTCGTACAAATATAATTTGCAATATTAATCTAATCTGCATTACTGCTCTGAAGCTATTTTCTTGTGGCATTGTAAATTAATTACTATTTATAACTGGGAATAAGCCACAATTAAAGATAAAAATACGTTTATTGACGTTTCAATTTCCAATTCGGAAATCGTTCTCAAAATACAAACAGTAAATTAAACAAATTTTGTTTTTTGTTACATAGTGAAAAATTCTTCTAATAATTTAATTTTGTCTGACTCATTTATATTGACAATTCAGACATACATTATGCATTTTAAAGTAGACGACTTTAAAATGATATTGCCAATATTGTTGAGTTGCGCTCCTGGGACGACTTTACTTATAAGATAGTTCATTCGATTACATGAAATCAACTTTAACTTGAGAATATCTTGAGGAGCTTTGGTATTCATTACTGGACTACACGTGTTTAAACATTTTGTTTTGCTGAAAACTCAGAAGTGATTTAGTGCCAATTTGTTTCAAGGTTATATTTAATACAGTGTCTGTAGAAATTAAAATCTTTGATGTATTTTATTCAAATTTGGACATACCAGCCATTTGGCAAGTATTTTCCAATTTAACTGCATGCAAAACCATTCGTATAATTTTTATTACTCTACACAAAATAAAGACTTATAGAGACCTTGATGAACATTTGGTGTCGAAAAACAATTTCGATTATTCGAAATATTCCGTCCCACTTATTCTGCCCTGTATATACATATTATATTCATTTTATTTGCCTTTGATACAATAAAATCCAATATTATTACTGAACATAAAATACTGGAAATTAAATATTTATATATAATACTTTTCAAGCCATCGAAATTAAATATTAACGCCCCACTGTTTGAGGCCCACTGATCATATCTTAATTACTTATCGGCCTTTATAGAGTAAAAGGAGTATTTAGTCTTGCAGTATCCTCCTGTTACAAATAAATACGTCACCGGTGAACAC